CCACCAGGTCCAGCTGCCCCTCCTGGACCTGGGCACCCGCTCAGCATTCTCTCCTCAGGGGCTGCCCTCCTCTTGCTCCCACTGCAAGGGCAGGAAGACAGGCTCTGTCCCCTTCCCTTGCAGACACTGTGTGGGCCAGAAGGCAGGGGTGCAAGGTGGGCCGGCTTGGCATGTGCCTTTGCTAGCCAGCAGGGGTGGCAGGCTCAGGACAGCCTCCTGCCAAGGGCCTCTGCCGTTAACTTCCTTCCACTGTGATTTAGTTCACAAACCCAAACTTATAGCCAGCAGTGGCGAAGCAGGCTGTTCAGAGATCTGCGGGGCGTTCCCAAAGCTGTGCGGCCATCCTGGCACCCTCTACCTCAGAACAGCTCCATCTCAGCAGGAGTCCCTGCCCTCCTTGATCATTCCTTCCGTGCCTGGTGGCCTGGGTCATTGCCCCTGGCAACCACCGCCTGCCCAAACCACCGCCTGCCCTCTGCCTGCATGGATTGCCTGCTCTGGACATTCCTTGCCAACGCAGCCACAGAGCGTGTGGCCTTTTGCATCTGCTTCTTGCACGGGCTGTCGTGTCTCCCAGGGTCGTCCCGTTTGCGTGTCCCTCAGTCCTGCATCCCTCTTTTTTTCCTTTCTTTTATTTATTTAAAAATATTTTTAGTTATCAATGGACTTTTATTTATTTATATGTGATGCTGAGGATCGAACCCATTGCCTCACACACGCTAAGCAAAGGCTCTATCACTGCACTACAACCCCAGGCCCCCCCCCCTCAATCTCTCTCTCTCTCTCTCTCTCTCCTTTTTTTTTTTTTTTTGATATCTAATTCACAGAACGTTAAGTTGGCTACTTAACATGTACAACTTGTATATTCTCTACCTGGGCAGCAGGGGTGGCATCTTTATTGTCTAATTAGGATATCAAATCTCAGGGTAGCTGCAACTGCCTGTCCTTCCGCCGGGTCCCCTCGGATCTTGATGACTGCCCTCAATGTGGAGTGGTCACCCTGGACCTCTCCACTGCTACAAGGTGTGGGCTGGGCACACACATCCTGCTCTGCTCTAGATGGCAGAGGAGAGGCTGAGTTTGCTTTCTGTCTCTGTCCTACCCCAGTACCTCTGCCACCCCCCTACCGCCTCCGGGAAGTGCAGGTCACCATCCTCAACAACAGCAGGTGCAGGGAGCTGTTCGCGTTGCCCTTTCAGCGCAGCTCCATCAGTTTTGACATGCTTTGTGCTGGTGCTGAGAATGGCAGCAGGGATGCCTGCCACGTGAGTGCCCACCCCATGAGGAAATCATACCCACCCTGCCCCAGGCCTGAGAGCAGGCTCCGAGCCCCCACCAGCCCACACCTGGAGTAAAGCAATGGCAGTCCTTACTCACCAGCCTACAAAACATACTGCTCATTCTCCACTGGTGGTGCCTCCTCCCACACCCGGTCAGCCCCTGGAGGTAGAGACTGAGGCCCCACTTTGCAGATGCAGAAACTGAGGCTCTTCTCTGCTGGGGAGCAGGGAATAGGACTCACACCCCTCCTGCCAGCTGCACTGCCACCCTGCTCCCCCAGCCTCTCTGCAGGCTCCACCCACCTGCCCTGGTTGGGCTCACCCAGGCTTCTCCCCAGGGTGACTCAGGAGGACCCTTAGTCTGTGACTTGGAAGGGCTGTGGTATCAGATTGGAATTGTGAGCTGGGGAGTGGGCTGTGGTCGACCCAACCGGCCTGGAGTCTACACCAACGTCAGTCTACACTTTGACTGGATCCGGATGCTGGTAGCCCGTAATGACATGCCCAGGCCTGACCCCTCCCCTGCACTGCTGTTCCTTACTCTGCCCTGGGCTCCCGGGCTCCTGGGGCCAGCCTGAGCATACCTGATCCCATGAAGGTACTGTGGGAACCATAGCTCTGCACCTTCCCCATCCCGTGGACACCCAGTATTGTGTGGTGACAGCTTCCCAGACCAGCCCCTTTCCCCTGCTGTCTTGTTTCCTAATAAACACTTATGCATACTCAAGTTGACAATCCAGAACATGATGGGCACCCTGTGCTTCCTGGACCATTGTCTGTATTACCCATGACCTGTGCAGCCCAGGACCTGTCCCTAACTCCTAATCTTGTCCAGCTGTTGGTCACAGACAGCTGAACCCTTTCCAGTCAGTTCACCCAGAAAGTTGATTTGTGGGAAGAGGGTCATAGCCCCAGGGTGTCTGGGAACTTGGAAGTCTGGGGAAGGGTGACAGGGAATAAATGTTCCTCATGGACAGCGCCCCCCGCCCCCAGTCTTGGTGTGCCCCACTACATGAGTCTCAGATGCTCCTGGTGTTACCAAGATCCTGTAATGGTAGTTTACTGGGGTCGTGAGCTAAGGAAGTACAGGCCAGGAGTGTGTTGGGTTTTCCCACAATAAAAAAGAAGCTGAACGGGAAGTGGACTTAGCCTGAGACCCTGCCTCAGTTTTTCAATATGGGACTGAGACAGGGGGTGGGTTTAGAGGCTCTTTCCTCCTTCCTAAAGTTCAGATGCACATTAATCAACCTGCTGCAGACTCCTCCCCTAAAAAGAGCCAGTTTCTCAGGAAGAACCCACACCGGCTGGGCTCTCTGGGTCCCCTCCATCCTCCGTCCCTGCCTTTCACCCCAATCACCGTTCCTAGCAACCTGCTGAACGGTGCCCAGCCCTACAGCCTACCCCCCTACCAAGGTCTGGCCCCACTCCCATTCAGCCCTCCAGCTTTCCAGCTGCTTCTGTCCCTGAACAACTGGCCCTATCTCCACCAGGCTGTCCACAGGTGGCCAATCCTGGGGAGGCCTGAAGAGGACGGGAGCTTACTGCTTTTATTCCTGTGGGCATTATGTTTGCCTTGTACCAAGCACTGATCCAGGCTCTGCCCATTCATCCAGTCACACTGGAGGAGAGAGCTATGGCCGCACAGAGCATGGGTGTTTTAGTTCTGGGGAATCAAACCCAGGTCTCATATACGCCAGGCAAGTGCTTTCCCAGCCCAGAGTGGTCTTGAGTGTGGGTCCAGGCTATGGGCAAGACTAGCCTTAAAACTTCCTGCCCCACCTCCACACCCAGAAGCTAGGTAGGTCCCCAGGGGGTTCCCTCATGCCCAGCCTCCTGCCACACTCAGCCCTGTTGACCCGCTCCCACATCCACAGTGCCTGCTCGGAATGGAGCGCTATTCTGCCCACTGGAGACTGTTGACTAAATGTTTGAGCCTCCAAAATTCCTATGTGGAAGCTCTATATCAGTCAGCTTCCTTTCACTACTATAAAAGTACCTGAGGCAAACTAACTTTATAGTGAAAAAAGGTTTATTTAGTTCAAAACTCACAGGCTCCAGGGCATAGCGCTGGCATGGCTCAGTTCTGGTGATGACCTTCTTGCTGGCAGAGCCCTGAGCTGTGGGGCGGGCGGGAACTCATTCGCCTGTATGGTCTCCCTCCCCCTTCTTACAAAGCCACAGGATCCCATCCTGGGGGCTCTATTTGAACAGCCTATTCTAATCTCATCACTTCCCAAAGGCTTCACCACAAAAAACATAGCAGTATCCAGTTCCCCTCCTCTTAATGCCATTAACATGAACCTTTGGAGATTAAAATGCTTCAAGACTTGAGGTTGGGGGCTGGGGATGTGGCTCAAGCGGTAGCGCGCTCGCCTGGCATGCGTGCGGCCTGGGTTCGATCCTCAGCACCACATACCAACAAAGATGTTGTGTCCGCCAAAAACTAAAATAAATAAATAAATAAATAAATATGAAAAATCACAATGTTTATGTTTAAAAAAAAAAAAAGACTTGAGGTTGGTGAGGGGGGGGCAACCATACTCAGACCATAATCCCCAGCGTGACTGTTTTTGCCTTTATGGAAGTAATTGAGATTACGTGAGGTCATAAGAATGGAGCTCTGATAAAATAAGATCAGTGTCCTTAGAAGAGAAGACAATCACTCTCTTCCCCTCTGCACCCAGAGGCCATGTCAGTACCCAGCAAGATGGAGGCCTCCTAGCAGGCCAAGGGGAGCAGTCTCAGAATGAGACCTGGTTGGTTTTGACCTTGTACCCCACCCCCACATCCCCCCTACCCCCACACCCTCAGAACCTTGAGAAGTACATTTCTTTTAAGCTGCCACACCTAGGATAACTGTCAGCAGCTTGGGTTGACTAGTTCAGGGCCATAAACCCAGACCCGGCCTCATGGAGAGGAGATGAACAATACAGATGAAACCTCCAGACCCATGTCAAAATCAGAATCTTGACATGGTGTGAGGGAGACATGGCTTCAGCAGTGAGGCCCCTGAGCAAGAGACAGAGGAGCAGAGGCTGAGGGGCCAGGAGTGCCGACAGAAAGGGAGAGGGGCTGCACAGCCTGTGGGTGAACCCAAGGGATGACTCACAGGTCTGGGCATTGTCCTGGATCCAGCCCTCCACTGGACCCCTTCCCTATCTCCTGGCCTCACCCTAGACCAACAGTCTTGCTATGTTCTGGCCACCCCAAGCCAGAGGGTGGACTGTTTCCTAAGGTCACACCTGCGTCTGGCTCTGATCAGCTATGCATTCCCACTCTGAGCTCAGGATCCAGGGGGTGTTGGCCTGGCTGGGGTCTCCATATGGAGTCAGCCAGCCAGGCCCAAGGTCTGGGGTCCAGAGTCTGCAGTTAGGGCCCCATGTGGGGCTGGCTGGCCCAGCCAAGCTGGGATTACTGGACAGAACAATAGAGCTCAGAAGCCCCAGTGACCATGCCCCACCAGGAGGCAGGATCAGGTTCAGAGATGAGCTGCCAAGGATTCTCTGGAGCTTCCCAGCCTGACCGCAAGCCCCAGGTCTCCGCACATGGTATCCTCTCCCTGCCACTTCCCAAGTGCTGCTCAAAGAATCTTTGTTTGAGGCTGGTCAGTGAAGCCACATCCCTGCCTGGGCCCTGGCCCAGCCTCCGCCCCTCTGCCCTTTAAGCCCCAGGCCCTCCCCTAGTCCCAGACAGTGGAGAGGGCACCAGGCTGTAAGGGTGAGAGCAGTGTCCAGGGCATGCCGGGGCAGGACAGTGCAGCTCCTGGGTAATGGGAGGGAAGGACGGTGTTGGTGATGAGGCTCTAGGACTCCTGTTGAGGTCCAGGAGACCCAGATCTGAAAGCTGGGGGGACTTCATACTGGGCTGGACTTCATACTGGGACTTCATACTGGACTTCAGGACCGGGGCTGAAGGAAGGGTATTAAGCCTGGGTGGAAGGGATAGCACAAACAGAAGGGCCACCGAGGGAGGGGCAGGTGGGGTTAGGGGTGTTCCTCTCTGCTCCCTGCCAGAGCCCAGCACTGGGCAGAGCTGCCTTACCCAGTCCAGTCCCGGAGACAGGATGATGGGGGCTTCCCAGCTCCAGATCCTGTGCCTGCTGGTATTCGGTGAGTGGAGCAAGGAGTAGGGGTGATAGCCACAAAGAACTTGGCTCCAGGTCATCCACGTCACCACCTCTGGGCCTGCTTCTGGCCCCCCCACCCCCCATGTCCTCATTTCCTGACCTTGGGCTCTCCAAGTCCCAACAGGTTACCTGTGTAAAGGGCCTGGGTCCCACCCCCACCCCAGTGTTCAGGAAGGTGACATCAGGTAACCAATCACATAGGAGCCTGGCACAAGCTCAGTGCCACACATATGCCCTGCCTCCCTCCTAATCTCTGACCACCCCCCAGTTATCTGACACCAAGTCCATAATCCAGCTCTCTCTCCACTTCCTCCTCCAGGAGCTACCGGGTCGTTGGCGTCCGCAGGTAAGAAGCCTCAGAGCTGCCCCTCCAGGCCCTAGGCCTTGTCTCTTCTACGCACACTTGTCTCCAGGCCCCAGTCCTCTGCCAACCCTGGCTGTCCCCTTGTTGTCTCACAGCCTGTGGGCAACCCCTCACGTCCAGCCGGATCGTGGGGGGCCGGGATGCTCGTGAGGGAGAGTGGCCCTGGCAGGCGAGCATCCAGCACCGGGGGACGCACGTATGCGGGGGGTCGCTCATCGCATCCCAGTGGGTGCTGACTGCAGCACACTGCATGGCCAGGTCAGTTCCCGGAGCCCCAGATGGATGCAGGTGGGGAGGAGGGCGTCTGAAGGTGTAGGCAGGGCCAGTTCCCCACGGGATGGTCTTCTGGGTGGGGTCTGCTTCAGTGATCCCCTTCCCTGTCGTGCAGACAGGCACTTCCATCTGAGTACCGTGTGTGCCTGGGGATGCTGCGCCTGGGCCCTGTGTCACCCCCGGCACTCTCCGTGCCAGTGTGGAGGGTACTGCTGCCTCCAGACCACTCTATGGATGCCACCCGCGGTGACCTGGCACTGCTGCAGCTACGCCACCCAGTACCAATGAGTGCCCACATCCAGCCCATCTGCCTGCCCATGCCTGGTAGTCACCCACCACCCAGCTCACCCTGCTGGGTCACCGGTTGGGGCACCCTCCGCCCAGGAGGTGAGGCATGGAAGGCTTGGCATGAGGTTATTGAGGGAACCCCCTTCTTTATCTAACTGGGCGTCCCAGACCCTCACAGTCCCAATTCAGGACGCAGAGCCACTTGTAAGAACCTGAAACTTCTCCCCAGAGCCAGATCCAGGGTGTCCCCTGCCTGACAAATCAGAATCTCGGGCTCCACTTCTTCCACGAGCCCTGCTCTACACTCTGCCCTCCTCTGGCTCTCAGAAGTCTCCCCTTTTCCCCAGTGCCACTTCCAGAGTGGCGTCCCCTGCAAGGAGTGAGGGTGCCACTGCTGAGCTCACGCGCCTGTGACCGCCTGTACCATGTGGGCACCAGCATCCCTGAGGCGGAGCGCATAGTGCTGCCGGGAAACCTCTGTGCTGGCTACCTCAGGGGCCACAAGGATGCCTGCCAGGTGTGTCCCCCACCTATAACCTCTGGAGTCCATGCCCCTGTGTCCAGCACCCTACCTCCCTAGAACTCAGGACCCAGCAGATCCCACCCCCAGGCTGCTTTCCAGCCCCCAATCCAGAGGTATCACCCCAGCGACCTGGGACAGCTGCCCTGAAGTCTTGGGAGGACTGGGACCTACAGTACCTTTCTGTTTGTTGCAGGGTGACTCCGGGGGACCTCTAAGCTGCTTGCAGTCTGGGCACTGGATCTTGGTGGGTGTGGTGAGCTGGGGCAAGGGCTGTGCCCTGCCCAATCGTCCTGGTGTCTATACCAGCGTGGCCAAGTATAGCCCCTGGATTCAGGCTCACCTCAGCCTCTAATGCTGGGTGGTTTTGGTGCTGCTGACCTGGAGCCTCAGCCTCGATCCATCCAGGACCTGCACACATCCTCCTCTCAGAGATCCTAATGGGCCATCCATGTACTCTCCATTCCCCTGCCTCTTCTCCTCCAGGGCACTCACTGAATGTGATTCCACAAGCCAGCAATCCAGGGACCTTCTGTGTGTCCTGGGGGCTCACTCTCCTCCTTCCCCTCCAGTCTCATCTTTACCCTCAGCTCTGGCCAGGGATGAGGGCAGGACAGCAGATATAGGCAAACCAGCTGCCCCTGTCTGGCCTGTGTCCCCCTTGTTTTCTTGAGGAAGATAGACATATGCAAAGCATAAGAGAGATTCAACACCAAGGAGCGTCTCCGTTGCTGGCTCTGAAGATGGAGGAGCCAGGAACTGAGAACATCCTACAGTGGCCTCTGGTTGACACCCAGCAGGGCACAAGAATCTGGGACCTCCAAATGCCAGTTCTGTGAGCCCCACCCTGATGACCCCTTGCCCTCAGCCTAGCGAGACCCTAAGCAGAGAACCCATCTGAGCCACTGGACTCTGACCTACAAAGTCATGATTAAATAAATTGGTGTTCTGTTAAGCTGCTACCTTTGTGGCAATTTGTTACACAGACATAACAACTAGTAAAGATTTTGCTCCACTGTCCTGGAGGTGTTCTAGGGGAAGATGGGCTGGTCCTCTGCACTTCAAGAGGCTCAGAAGCCTGTGTGCCTGGCTTGGAGAGTTTCTCGGCAGGGCTGCCCACAGTTGCTACTGCTCCTGAGGCTTCTGACCCTCACTCACTCCTCACACCCCTAATCTGGACACAGCCTCTCTCCAGTGTGGCTCTTTGCCCTCCCTCTGCTCCCCTTCCAGCCTGGGGCCTGATCTCTTCCTCTCAGACAGAGGTCAGTTTCTAGAGTAGCAGGGGAATAAGAAACAGAGCAAAATCTGGAAAATTCTTTCTTTTTAGAGGGGGGTGCTTACTGAGAATTGAACTCAGAGGCACTCAACCACTGAGCCACATCCCCAACCCTATTTTGCATTTTATTTAGAGACAGGGTCTCACTGAGTTGCTTAGCGCCTTCCTTTTGCTGAGGCTGGCTCTGAACTCGTGATCCTCCTGCGTCAGCCTCCCTAGCAGCTGGGATTACAGGTGTGCACCACAGCACCCAGATCAAAGCCTGTTCTTTGGAGCTAATCAACAGAGAAATGGGCAGAAAGGGGAGGGGGGTGCATCAAAGTCCCTGCAGGCCTACACAGGCCTGAGCCTCTCTCCCTACCAGTGGACTTACTTGATGGTCACTGCTGGGTCAGGCCAGGTTGATGGGGCAGTAGGCAGATGCCCAATTTTACTGCAGTCCATTCTGCAGTAAAATTGGGCTGCCTGTGATGGGGTCACTAGGGACTAGGGTGCTCAGGACAGGGTATGGCCAGCCTGCAGAAGTCCAGGGGCACATTTGCAATGAGACCCTGTTGGGTCATATCAGCTGCCCACTGCTTCAATCTGTGAGTGCACCTCATGCCTTTCTCCTCTCATCACTTCCCTGGCACAGGGCCAGCCAGAGATGGTCCCCAGGATGCTTCTCCAAAAGGGAGCACATGAGACATTGAGCAAGCCAAGGCCTGGGGCCTGCCTCTCCATCCAGAGAGCCTGTGTATCTGAGGAACACCCAGGCAGCCAAGGCTGAGGGAGGAGTGAGATGGACAGGGCCGGGGGTGGGGGGACCAGTTAGAAAAGATGACTGCTCCCAATGGTACCCTAACAACACCATGCAGGGACACAGTGGGGTACTGAATCTCATCAGTTACCTCAGACTCTGCTAGGTGGACTTTCCCATTTGTCAGGTGAGAAAACTGAGACAGAAAGTCCCAAAACTGGGGGCTGGGGATATAGCTCAGTTGGTAGAGGGCTTGCCTTGCAGGCACAAGGCTCTGAGTTCAATCCCAGCACCATACACACATAAATGAAATAAATAAAGTCACACAGCTGGCCAGTGATTTTTTTTTTTTTTTTTTTTTGGTACCAGGGACTGAATGAACCCAGGGGCACTTAACCACTGAGCCACATCCCCAGTCCCTTTTTATATTTTTTTTTAGGGACAGGGTCTCACTGAGTTACTCAGGTCCTCACTAGTTTACCACCATGCCTGGGCAGACTGGGATTCATACCCAGGCCCTCTGATCCAGGAACGGCAGAGGTGAGTTGGTATTTCCTTTGCTCTCTCCATCTTGCCCTAACAGCTGGTCTCCCCGGGCCTCCTCCACTCAGCCCATTCCTGAGGTGGCCGCCCATGGTGCTGGCAAGTTGAAGCACCTCTCAGTCCTTGCACAGCTGAGACCCGATGAGACCCAACTGCCAGGGTAGCTGAAAGCCTGGTCCTCATCCTCAACGCCAATCCAGTAACAAAGACAAAGTCTTGAGAAAAAGGAAAAGGAAGGTGTATTTCTTTGCTAGCAAAGGAGACACAGAGGACTCCTGTCCTAGAGGCTGTGATTCTGCCCATCAGCAGGAACAGGGGGGCTTTTATAGAGGTGATTCAGAGCAAATGAGATTAGGGAGGAGAGATCAGGGAGGAGAAGATCAGGGAGTTTAGGGAAAAGAATATCAGGAAAAAGGAAAAAAAAAAAAACAAGTAAGTTTCAAAGTATCAAGTGAATCCCTGTTACACCAGCACAAATGGCATGGGGGTGGGTGGTCCTGCCCGGCTGAAGCTGAGGCTCCTCAGACCACATCAGCTGTAGCCTGGACTGGATGGGGACTGTGCTGAGGCCCAGTGAGGGAAATCACAGCAGGGGAAGGGACTTTAGAAGGCTCCCAAAGAGCCAGAAGCTGCTGGTCAAAAGTAAGAATACCTAGTTGTGGCTAAGGAAGGAGCTACAGAGGCCTTCACATGATTTTCCTTTGGTCTTAAAGAGCAGAGAACAGAGCCTGAGGAGGTTGACTGCCAAAAGCTGCAGGGTCAGCAGCAAAGCCAGGATCAGAGCCAGAGCCCCCAAGGCAGCAGCACCTCCGTAGCTGAAGTGAGTCCGTCCCTTGGTGAATGCAAACAACTAGGCGACAAAGGAGTGAAGATTTATTAATCGCAGCAAAGAGAGTGCTGGGGATATTTCCCTAAGCAGAGACTCTCTGAACAAAGGGAACCGGGAATTTTACTGGGGAGACTCATGCATATTAATACCTGAGAGACTATCACATGTAGAAGGAATGTTCTTGCCCACACCCAGTTCAAGATCCAACTTCCCGGTACAGTGACTGCTTGAAAATGGTGGGTGGGACTGCCTCTGGGGTAGAGAATTTAGCTTTCCAATGAGATTATGAGCAAATCTCAATGACCTGGAAGAGTGTGATCTGGGTTGGATTACACAGGTCCCTGGTGGTCTTTTCTCAAGGGCCTTATCTAAAACCAAACAAAAACAAAAACCGGGAGGGGTTTGAAGAGGTGCGTGCTCGATCCCACCTCAAGCACTGTGCCTACCCCTACGACTTGCTCTCAGAGTTGACACTGTCACATGGCCCCTCCAGGACACTGAGACCAGAGCTCCAACAACTGCAGGGCTGCATGGTGTCCAGGACCACTGCCAGTGAGTCTCTGGGCTGGTGGCCTCATCTCTCACACTTGCCCAGCTTCACTGGCTGCCCAGGTAGCAGCTGTCCCCTCCTGGGGGCTGGCTGGGTTCCAGAGTAGCCTCCAAGGGTTGTTGGAGGCTCCACCAGCAGAGGAAATCAAGCTGCTGGAGGAGCCCAGACAGGGAGGAAGTGCTGCCACCAGGGCTGGAGCTGGAGCGGGGAGCTGTCCAGGAGGCCAACCAGAAGGGACAACCCTCCTACCCTGGACACCACGGGGCCACTGGGGCCTGGCCAGGGGATGCGAGGTGAAGGCCAAGGGCAGCCTAGCAAGGCCAGCTCAAGATACAGATGAAAAGGGTGGATGCAGCTGTGTGGTGCAGCTCCCCTGGGATCAAGCTCCAGAACCAACAAAATAAAAGTAAAAAAACCAAAAAGGCTGAATGGGTTACCGAAAGCTCAGTCCTGGCCCTCAAGGCCAAACTAGTAAGAAAGACATGGTTCCGAGGAAAAAGAAAATATTTCTTGCTTTGCTACAAAGGAGAAACACAGGGACTCCTGTCCCGGAGGCTGTGACTGCCCACGGGCAGGAACAGGGGCTTCTACAGAGGCAACTCCCAGGCACATGGCAACTAGCACCACTTGTCAATTTGAGGGTCAGTCATCCCAGAGACCTCCAGAGTCTCGGTTACTCGGTGCCCAGGGTGGGTGTGTGCTCAAGGACAGATAAATCCGCCTAAAACGGGAAAGAAAGGCAACCCTGTTTCCCCTGAGACTAGGGAGGGGACAGAGGAAGAGAAAATAGCTTGTCCTTTAAAAATAAGTCATAGTGGCCGAGTGGCAAGGAATGTCAGAGCATGAAGTGAACAAGGGCTACGGATGCGGCTCTGAGGTGATGCACCCGGGGTTCAATCCTCAGTGTCCACCTCCCCCCCCCAAAAAAAAAAAAAAGAGGCCAAGGTGTCCCTCAGTGGAGGGACGGGAGAGACGATCGTGCACTCAGGCTTGGTGCAGCCATAAAATGACATCGGGTCATCGGAGGGAAAATGCATGGAACTGGAGAACAGGAGGCTGAGCAGAATAAGCAGCCTCCGAAGGTCGGGGGTCGCAGTGTCCCCTCTCGCGCGGACGAGGTAGGGGAGGGTTCCCACGGAAATGAGGGAGAGCAACGGAAAGGGTCAGAGAGGGGTCCTGGGAGAGGCAGGGACACGCCGTGTCGTGTGCACTTGCGAATGTGTAACAGCGAATCCCTCCGCTGTGCACTGCTACTTCGCACCTAATAGAGACACGCGAAAATCGCCGAAAGCGGCGGCGCCTCCCTCCCGGCAGCGAGATGGCGGCCCGCGCAGAGCCTCTTCCGGCTCACTTAAAATGGCGGCGGGGGCGGGGCCGCGCGGGGCGGGGAGGGGCGGGGCCGCGCGGGGCACGCCGGGCCGCGCGCGGGCTGCCGGGAAGGGGCGGAGCGCGGCCGCGCCGGCGCGTCGAGCGAGAGGCAGCCGCCGCGATGGTGAGCGGGCGCGGGGGGAGGGGCGGCCGGGCCGGGCCGGGGGCGACGGGGGCGGCGGGCTCGCGGGGGCGGCGGCGGGGCGCTGACGCCGGCCCGCCGCCCGCAGGACGTGTTCCTCATGATCCGGCGCCACAAGACCACCATTTTCACGGACGCCAAGGAGTCGAGCACCGTGTTCGAGCTGAAGCGCATCGTCGAGGGCATCCTCAAGCGACCGCCCGACGAGCAGCGGCTCTACAAGGTGCGGCGGGCGGCGGTTGCGCGCGCGGGGTCCCGCGGCGTCTCCCTGCCGCCGGGCGGGCCGGGCTGGGGAGCGCGGACGGCGGCCCTATGCGCCCGACCGCCGACGGCTGGGTGGGGTCTTCGCCCGGCGCCCGGTGCAGGTCGCGGGCAGCGCGGTGCTCCTCCGCGCCGACGCGGGGCGAGCCGGAAACGGGCAGGGTCGGCGCCTCCGAGGCCTCCGCTCCCCTCCGCCGCGGGCGCTCCGGCTCAGGGACCCTGCGAGCGCCGCATGCAGGACTCCCCGCCCTCTTCCCTCTCCCGCTCGTCGAGCCCCGGCCGCCTGTGAGCCCGGAAAGCCGGGGGCCCCGAGTTATAGTTGAGGGCACTGGATGTAAGAAAGTTGAGCCCCTTGTTCAGGGGTCAGAGCTGTCAGTGATCTGCCTCGGCTTCCGTCCGCTGGCTCAGTGACTCCGAGGGCGATTCGCACGCAGGGTTTGGGAGAACCAGATTCCAGAGCCCTCCCCTGCAAAGTTCTTATTTGGACATCTTGGGGACGCGGCTCTGGAAGCTGTATCCAACGTGCTCTGTGGTAGTTATGGCCACACTTGATACTATCTCTTCCTCTGACTCCCAGTGTAGTTGCTGGCCAGAGATCTGTGGGTCTTGCCCCTTCTGGACCTCTCCCCAGACCCTTCTTCTCTCCTCAGGATGACCAGCTCCTCGATGACGGCAAAACTCTGGGAGAATGTGGCTTCACTAGCCAGACAGCACGGCCACAGGCCCCAGCCACAGTGGGGCTGGCCTTCAGGGCAGGTAAGGACTGGACTGGGTGGCAGCTGGGCAGGCTGGTAATGGCCACAGAAAAGGGTCTTCAAGGAGCTGAAGTTGATTTTATAAGCCTTTGCTTTCCAGTCCACAAAGGGTAGGAACTATCTGACAGTGTTTCTCCACTGTAAAACAAACAAGAGACACTTGTAGAAATAAAGCCCGTTTCACAAATGGTTTGAAGATCCCTCGTCCCAATACCCTCTCAGATTTGCAGAGGATTTATTGAGCACTTGGCTCTGCACTCTGAAAGTTACTTCCATTGTCCCATCTAATCCTCTCAGCCGGGAGATGCCAGCACTGCCATGCAAATAGGGATGACTAAATCTTGCCAACAGTCCCATGGGTAAGAGGCAGGCTTCTAGTGCCTTGCTAGAGTCAGATACCATACCAAGCTTGATTTGTGCTGCTTATCACCTGATTCCCCCAGTATCTCTGGTCAAGACTTGAATTTGCGTTAGTTTGAATGGTGGTTGTTTTGGTGCTGGGGATTGAACCCAGGGGCGAGCTACATTCCCAGCACTTTTTTTTTTTTTTTTTTTTTGAGACAGTGTCTTAGTAATTTGTCTACAGCCTCACTAAGTTGACAAGGCTAGCCTCAAACTCACAGTCGTCCTTCCTCAGGCTCATGGGTTGCTGGGATTATGGGCAAGCAAGCACCATGTGGATTGTGTTTTTTAAGGATGAGTAAATTGAGCTTGGGGAAATGGGGTTGTTTGCTGGGATGCCAACACCAGGCTTCAGATCCAGATCCTATATTCTTGTTAATCTTACCCCAAATCTCCCAGGATGTTGTACCATGAGGGGTGGGGAGAGTTTCACATTTCCTTCCATCTAAGAAAAGGGGAGGGCAGAATTTTTAGTTTTTACTCTTGGTCTCCTGGAATTTTAAACAGATCATAGAGCCATATTTTCGCAGATGTGGATCCAGGGGATGTGTGGGTAGAGGGAACATGGATAAAGGAATCATTTTCTGTTTTGTAAGAAAACAGCACAGGTTGAAAAAGAAGAGTATGGTCCTAGCTGTACTCTTTAGGTCCCATAAGGATAATGGGGTTAGGCTTCAGCTTCAGCAGATGTGTCCTCAGTCAGTACTTCTTCCCCTGCCCCACCCAGCACGGCAGCCTGAGTCTGGTCTGCTGTGAATGCTGCAGACATCATACAGGAGTGTCTTTCTGAGGGGGTAAGTGATGACTGAGTCACATCTGGTGGGCTTTCTGAGCAGAGGCAATAGAGCTGCATTCTCCCTGAAGTGATCCTTTTTCTACTTTTTGTTTTTGCTATACTGGAATTGAACCCAGGACCTTATATGCTAGGGAAGCACTATACCACTGAACTATACCCCTACCTCTTTTTATTGGTTTATTTTGAGACAGGGTCTCACTAAATTGCCTAGGCTGAACTTGAACTTGGGATCATCCTGCCTTAGCTTCTTGAGTAGCTGGGATTATAGGTATGTGGTAGCTTTTTTTTGTTTGTTTGAACAAAAGGCTTGAAGTGGCTTGGAAGACACTGATAGCATAAATGAGGGCGAAGAGACATGACTTGTTTTTGCCCACCATGGCATTGCACATTACCTTGAGGCAAGTAGTGTCTGTTGTGACAGGCACAGTGTGGGCTGGTTACTTTTTGTTTTCTCAGACTACTTGCAGAAAGACAACTCTTTGTGCAGCTGACCAATCAGTACTAGGTTCTTGGGCCTTGATTGGGTGCCACACACTCTGCCATTCAGTGTCCTTGCTAAAGGATGAGACAGATTTGTCTGCCAACCTCAAACTGCTCAATTAGGGAGATGACAGTGTCAGGTGTGAGACTGCACTGGCCAGATGAGTCACGGAATATGTGGGTAAAGGCAAGAATTGTCCCTGCAGGTTTGTGGCTTGGGTTTGTTACCTCAGCAGTATCGACACTTGGGGTGGATGATTCTGTGTGGGGCCATCCTATGTATTGCGAATGTATGGCAGCATCCCTGGCCTCTCCTGGCTGATAGAAGTGGTAACCCTTCACCTGCCCAGTTACAACAGCTCTTGAGACATGGCAGCTTTCCTTGGGGTGTGTGTTGGGGGACTTCCTCTGGAGAGCCTAATCAATTAAGAACTAAGTCAAGAGAACAGCCCCCTAGGTAGAGGAAAGCACAGGAGGAAAAGTATGAAGTGGAATACATGTGTTCCATGCTGGGATAACAGTAGAACTGGAGCCACTGTTCAAGTGGGAAAAGCAACCTATCAAATCTGACAATTTTTTCTGAGGTGACATCTGAGCCGAACTCTGCCCATAGCATGTCCCATGTGATAGGTGTTGGGACTGGCAAGTACAAAATCCTGAGGCAGGAAAGGGCTTGGTATGGGAGTGAGGCTGAGCATTGGAGACAGACAGTGTTGGTGAAACCAGATGGGAAACCATTGGAAAGTTCTAAGTGGGTCAGGACTGTACTTGGTTTCCCACCACTGGTTGGTTGATGGAAAAGGCAGAGAGCAAGGAGAATCTGGTGTGGTGGCAGGTGATGCTGGCTGTGGAGACAGAATTGTGGGGTGCCTGCAGGAAGTTACTGACAAATGTAGATTGGGAAAAGGCCTAGAATGGCCAGCAAAGAGGGATGGGTGGCTTGGGCCAATGGGGTCAGGAGTCATTCCAGTGCCACTAAGTGAAGCAGCTGGCAGTGGGTAGGTCAAAGCTGCAGGACAGTGACTTTAGGTGCCCCAGGGCTTCAGGTTATTGGGTGGAACAAGGCCCAGCTGGGGTATGAGTTGAGCACCTTTCCAGCTCTGTCTCCTCCCCTACAGATGATTCCTTTGAGGCCTTGCGCATCGAGCCCTTCTCTAGCCCACCCGAGCTTCCGGACGTGATGAAGCCTCAGGACTCCGGAGGCAGCGCCAATGAACAAGCTGTGCAGTGAGGGCCCCAGGCCCATCCCTGAGGCCCATTCCCCCCAATAAAAGATTTGGGTGTCTGCCTGGTTGCTGCCTCTTTCTCCACCCTCTCCCTCCCTATTCCAGGCATTGCCCTCCCTGGGATGGGTCTTGTTCCCCCACTTCTTTGGGCTCTTGACCAGCCTATCCTGGGCTGCCCTGAGAGCCAAATTACTCCCAGCTTTGGGGAGAAGAGGTCAGAATTCCTGAGCCCTAGGTCAGCCCAACGCAGGAGGGGCAAAAGAAATCCAGCCTTTAAGGTACACTTGCCACCCAATTTCCAGGTGTGTTTCCTTAGACTCTCTGAGGGGGACTCACTCAAGCTGTGGGCTGGAACCAGTGTTAAGAGTGGGTTCCTACTTCATCATTGCCCCCTCTCCCCAGGGCTTCAGGAGATCCAGGGCAAAGGCCTTGGGGACTTCCAGTCAGGGTCTAAGGTGAAGGTGGTTCTTCCATTTGCTCTCTCACCACTAATAAACAGTCTATAGACTCAATTCCTGCATTTCTCATTTTATTTGACAGAAAAAGTTGCTCTTGCTGTACAGATTTTTAAAAAACCAAAATGCCTTTTAAGAAACATGAAGAAAAATTGGGGGAGGGGGTCACAACCTCATGGGGGGCAGTAGGGGCCAGCTAATTTTTTAACTCCTGCCCCTTCCATCCAAGAACACCTCAACTTCTAAATTCTAAACCATCACCCCCAGGAACTTCAGACGGCTGCATCTCTCGGGGCCTCTGATTCTAGGCCTCAGTGTCTGAACTGTATCCTCTCCTCCCCCAACTCCCATCAGCATTCATTCCCTCCCACCCCCAAACCCCCCCAAACACATGAACCAGGAAAAACTCACAGAGATTAACATTTCACAGGAACAAAGAAAAAAAGGAGTGGGGGGAAGGGAGCCCTCCACCCAAGATGCTGCCAGGATTCAAAGGTGGGGGAAGACAAGGACCTCCCACAGCTCTGTTGGGGGACACTCCCTGTGGCTCCAGAGCATGGGGTGCGGTGATTTAAGGAGACCTGTAGCAGAAAAGACCAGAAATCAATGCCAAAAATCAAGTTCAGCTCCTGTCACCCACCAGAATGGGACACCCTTCAGAGGAGACACACCTGGAGGAGCGGTGTCGCATGGGACGGGGGCTAGGAGTTTCCCTCCTGCGCTTGTGGCCCGGAGAATGGCTGTCCCCACGCTGGCCTCTCCGGGAAACCCGCTCATTGCTGCTGCAACAAAAAAACACGTCAGACCACTGGGTGGCACCAGCCTCAGACATCCCTGAACCTTGAAACTGGCTTTTCCTTCAAGTCCTGTGCTGGTCATTCAAGACTGTGTTAACCTTTGGGGTGGGCCCTACCTCTGCTGGTCCCGTGGTGAGGGCTGAGGTGAGGGACGGCGTCGCTCCACAGGTGAGTAGCTGAGGGACCTCGAGTCCCGAAGGGAATCTATAGGCTTCCGGGGGCTGCGGGACCTGGGGAGCAGAGGAAGCTCCCATAGCACAACGCCCTTCCAAATCCACCAGCCAGCACTCAAAACCACCCACCCAGGTCCTGACCACCAAACCTCACACCACGCAGGGCCAGCCTCAGACCCACCTTTGTCCGCACTCACCCATCCGCCCGCACACCTTCCACTGAGTGCCCACAGTGGGCAGGGCACAGGGTGCAGCGGGGGATGCAAAGATAAAGACAGTCCCTGCCCTTGGAGGAGCTCAGTCTGGTAGTGAAGGAAGGCCAACAAGGGAGGCACGCAGGGCCCCATGTGTAGGAAGCAACCCCACAGGGATGGATGTGCATAGATCTGGGGACTTGGGGCAAGGATACATGGGCGGGGCAGGGGCGGGACAATCTTCTCGGAGGTGCTGTTTTGAGTGGAGTCTTGCAGAACGAGGAGTTCACCAGGCGGACAAGGAAATTCCAGGCAGAAGGAACAGCATGTCCAAAGGCATGGGCTCTCCTTGACTGCAAGGCGCTGGGTGTGGCTGGAGCACAGGGCATGTATGGGGGCGGGCAGGAGGAGCACAGGGTGGGCAAGGCCAGCTGGTGAAGAGCCTCACACGCCATTCCCGCAGAGGTGGGGCTTTATCCTGCAGGCCACAGGGCGTCCCGGAAGGATTTGTGGAGTGGAGGGAAGTAACCAGATGTGCGTTTTAGAAAGATCCCTCTGGCTACGTGTGGAAGAGAATGGCGTGGAGGCAGGGAGACAGGGAAGAGGCTGTGGACAGAGTCGGGAGAAGATGATGGTGGCCAGACCAGAGCCCTGTAGCAGCAATGGGGAGACTTAAAAGAGCTAGAATCCCTGGGACCAGGCTGCATGTTGGGGGAAAGAAAGAAACCTAGGACTTCCCAGTTCTGGCTTGAGAACCCACTTGGATGGTGCAGCCCTTTACCAGAACAGGGTGCAGAGAATAATGGGCAGAGGAGTGTGCCCGACTCCTCCCTTACAACCAGACACAGAAGTCCACAAGGGGCCCATTCTGGAGAAATCACCCTCCCCTCCACCTCGGGCAAGTCAGGACTCACCTCCGCTCGCCAGGGGGTGGCTTCTTGGGGCTTGCAGGTTTGGGCAAGGCCTGAGGGCCTGGCTTAGCAGGGGAAGGGGAAGAGGAAGAAGAGGAAGAGGAGGAGGAGGAAGAGGAGGAAGAGGAGGAAGAAGAGGAAGAGGAGGAGGAAGAGGAGGAAGAGGAGGAAGAGGAAGAGGAGGAGCTGGAACTAGAGCTGCTAGAGCGCCTCTTCCGTTTGGCTGGGGCTGGCTCCTGGGGACGTCCCTCTCGAACAGCCTCCTTTGGTGCTGGAGTGGGGCTGGGGACCCTGTGGGAGAAGAACAGTGTTACAAAGAGACAAGCTGCCCCAGCCCCAACCCTACCTTCCTTGGCCTGGAGGAATGGCAGTGGGGGAGGGGTGCCTGAGAAAGGCCCTGGGAGCTCTCGAAGCAACCTGAAGCGAGCCAGTGAGTGCTTCTCTGGAGATCATTGGCCCGAGCCGACCCAACCTCTGCTAACACAAGCAACAGGCTGGGGCCCGCAGCACAAGGGATCAAGGTTAAACCTCAAGAATGTCCCTGATGAAGGAATAAGGCCCCTGGGCTCAGATGTGGAAGCTGAAGCTGGGTGGTCTCCTTCCTCGGAGAGCCGCAGCTTGGGGAGGCCCCTGTGAGTGCAGGTTGGCTTGGGGAGGGGCCGTCCTGCCTGGAGGCAGGGAGAGGGATGGGATGACCTCTGAAGATCCTTCCAGCCCAGGGAGTTCCTCTTGAGGTCTAACTGCCATCCCTCCTGCTGTAAAATTAAGTCCATTTCCTCTAGTTCTGTCCTCTGTAGAGATGGAAAACTTATCATTATCCTCTAGAGAATTAATCTTCTGAGACTTTTTTCTGTCCCATCCCTCCCCACCCGTAGCCCCCACCCCAGCATTCTCTTCTACCCCCAGCTTGAGGGTCAAGGTTCCCCATACCTTCTCAAAGAACCAAGAACCTGAGATATGGTTGCTCCCACCCCACTCCCTCATCCATTCCCAATTCCTTTCCCCCTAGAAGATTCCTGAAAATAAAGTTCCCTCACCTCTTCAGTGCCACCTCAGGCTGAGCTGGAAGGCTAGAGCCTTCTGAGTCGCTAGAACTGGAGCCAGAGGAGGAAGATGATGAAGACGACGATGATGATGATGAAGAGGAGCTGGAGGAGCTGGAGGAGGAGGAGGAACTCCGCCGCTCCTTTGCTGGTTGCGGGGTGGCCAACGCAGAAGGCTGCTGGGCCCCAGTAGAGGCAGGTGGCTCCCCACCCTCCGGGTGAGGCACCCCAGGAGTAGGGCCAGAAAGCATGCCATTGTGGTCACCAGTGGAGGACATGGCCTTTGCCACCGTCCCAGAGGAAAGGGACTGAGACCCTGCTACAGAAGTGGTCTGGGCATTTGAACGGGATTGGTCTGAAAAAGCAGATGGCACAGGAGACCTAGGTCGATCCTGCGCTGGAGGGAGAAGAGACTGTGAAGGAGCCTGGATCACTCTGGAGGCAGGGGAGGGAGCCCGCTCAGAGGTCATTCTAGACTGGCTTGGGGCTGATGGTGGTGTTCTAGACCTGGCTCGGTCAAGAAGCGGGGGTGAAGCTCTGCCACTAACACGCTCATAAGCAGAAAGGGGCACCCTGGGGCTGGTAAGGTTTGCACCAGACAATGCTGGGGCCATCCTAGCACTGGTGAGACTTGCAGAGGCCAAGGCTGAAGGGGTTCTAGAACTGGCAATATTCACAGGAGCTGTGGCATGAGCAGATCGTGGACCCACGAGGTTTGCAGGGGCTGGAGCCTGGGGTGTTCTGGAACTAGAGGGATAATTTGCAGCAGTTGGAGGCGTGCCAGATCCTGAAAGACTCAAAGCTGCCAAGGCAGCAGGGGTTCTGGCTCCTGCTAGGTTCACAGCTGGAGCTGTGGGGGTCCGAGGGTCAGCAAGATTCACGGCTGAAGGTGCCACTGCAGTTCTGGGGCTGGCCAAGTTCATGGCTGCTGCTGCCGCTGGTGCTCGTGAGTCTGCCAGGTTCACTGCTGTTGGGATAGCAGGCGTCCGGGCACTGGCCAGGTTCATGGCTGCTGCAGAGGCTGCAGGAATCCTGCTAGCAAGATTGGCAGCTGGGGCCGTTCTGAGACTCATGAGAGGTACCGGAGCTGGCACCTGGGACATTCTTGCAGCAAGACCAGCAGCAGACATGGATGGAGGAGGCCGGGCAGTGCCAAGGCTGATAGCTGTCAAGGCAAGTGCAATTCTAGACTGAGCATGATTTTCTGGCACAGATGTTCTTGGATGATCAGGTATTCTGGGACCTGGGCCATCCATCATGGAGCCACCAGCTTGTTGCAGGACAGACATGGGTGTTCTAGCACTGCCAAGGGGTTCAAGCATTCCAGGTGATCTACATCGGTCAAGAGGAGTTGGTGACATGCTAGGACGACTGAAACAGCTCATTCTGGAGCTATTGAGTGCCACTGGAGGTGTTCGAGAACCAGAATGATTCCTTGTTGCTGGAGGAGTAGCAGAACGTGAACGATCAGAACTACTTCCAGATGCAGAACGCCTGCGAATAGCCGGAGGAGATCTTGTTAAAGACCGTTTACCCCGAGTTGCTCGGGGTGTACGGGACCTAGATCTGCGGCGAATAGCAAGTGGCGAGCGGCTTCGAGAACGTTTGCGTGGCAACAATGGTGTTCGAGACCTAGAGCGGCGTCGAATAGCTGGAGGCGTTCGGGACCTTGACCGGCGACGAGTGACTGGGGAGGTTCGAGATCGGGACCTCCTCCGAGTGACTGGAGATGTACGTGATCGAGATCGCCTTCGAGTGACTGGGGATGTTCTGGATCTTGACCTTCTGCGAGCAATAGGTGAAGTTCTGCTTCTAGATCGCCTCCTGGTTACTGGTGGGGTCCTAGACCTGGACCTTCTGCGAGTCACTGGTGGAGTTCTAGAACGGGAGCGCCGGCGTGTTGTTGGTGTTCTGGACCTTGAACGACGACGGGTTACAGGTGGTGTTCTGGACCTGGACCGTCTTCGACTCACTGGGGATGCCCTTGACCGAGATCTTCGTCGAGTCACTGATGTTCTGGACCTGGACCGTCTCCGACTCACAGGGGAGGTCCGAGACCTGGATCTACGTCGGCTGAGCAACGGTGTTCTAGACCTGGATCGCCGGTGAGTTGCTGGAGAGGCTCGAGATCTAGAACGTTTCCATGGGGCTGGTGATGTGCGTGAGCGAGAACGCTTGCGACTGGTTGGGGGTGTTCGAGAGCGGCCTCTTCGACGTCGAGAGGAAGTTCGGGAACTCTCCTGCCGGGCAGGTGATCTGGAATGGTAACCAGAGCCTCCCCTCCGCCTGCGAGTGACCCGAGACCTGGACCGGCTCCGCTGTCTTCTTCGCGAAGTTGACTGAGACGATCCAGACCTATCTCGACGTCGGGTTGTTCTGGTTTTCTCCCTACGTGAGCGGGAACGGGACCTCTGGAGTCCACGAGGCTTTGGTGAAGGGGAACGGCCTCTTCTTGAAGTTGCCTTAGTGCGTGGAGATGAAGCTGAACGCCGCCGACGTGAAGACCTTGACTTTTCAGCTGGCTCAGGGGAAGACACTGAGGGACTTCTTCTGCGTCTTGGAGGAGTTCTGGAACGAGTTTCTGGTGAAGAAGAGGCAGAGCGGCTCCTACGGGAGAGTCTGGCCTTCCTGGTTAGCTCAGGAGATGACCGAGAGCTGCGACGTCGAGGTGGTGTGCGAGACTTTGTCTTTGGCTCTGGTGAAGACCTGGAACCTCTTCGAGCAGTTCTGGACTTGGGTGGGTGTTCGGGTGAGGACTCAGAACTGCTGCTTCCTTCAGCAGAAGGTCCTCTGCCTTTGCTTGATGAGCCTGATCTGCTTCTTCTAGGAAGGACCCGAGGGGCAGGTACTTTGGGTTCAGGAGAAGAATCAGAACCACTCTGGGTCCGAGGTGCTGCTCTTGGCTTATCTTTCACTTCAGGAGATGAGCCAGACCTACTGCGCCGAGGAGAAGCTCGGGATTTGCTGTCAATCTCTGGAGAGGATCCAGAGTGACTCCTCTGCCTAAGTGGGGTTCGTGTCTTGGCTTTAGAATCTGGAGAAGAATCTGACTCACTTCTCTCCTGAGGAGATGCACTGGGTTTCCCGTCAAGCTCTTGAGAAGATCCAGATGGACTTCTCTGCCCAAGGGGGGTCCTAGCCACAGTTTTCTGCTCAACTGATGATTCTGATCCACTTCTTTCTCTCTGAGGGGTAAGACACTTGTTGTTGAGCTCTGGGGATGATGGAGAACGACTTCTTGGCCTAGGAGTCTGAGGCAATGCTTTTGGTTCTGGGGAAGAATCACATTCACTCCGCCCCCTAGATGGGGTTCTAGGTATATCTTTCATTCCAGGAGAGGACCCAGACAGGCTATGCCTAGAGGGAGTCCTGGAACCATCTCTAAGTCCTGGAGAAGACCCAGACCGACTTCTCCTTGATGGAGTTCTGGGTAAACCATCTTTCAGTTCAGGAGAAGATGCAGAACTACTTCTCTCTCTTGAGGGCGTTCTGGGTACAGCATCAAGTACAGGTGAAGATACACTCTGATTTGAAGACATTCCTGCCTTTTCCACCACATCTGGGGATAACTCAGAACTGCTACGTCTGGAGGATCTTGTTGACTGTTCTTTCATGTCTAGAGATGGGTCTGTCTCCAGCTGATTAAGGAAAGGTCCATTCAAATCTTCTTTAACCTCAGGAGAAAATCCAGTATTCATTTCTGTAGCAGTGCCTGAGTTTCTAAATTCTAAAGGTGATCCAAAGTTATTCTCCCTGGGAGGAGAGTGAGATAGTTCTTTATGCTCTGGAGAAAAACGTGGCACTCCCCAACAGGAGGCCACTGCAGAAACTTCTTCCAAAGCCATTTGTGACTGGCTTTGGTCAAGAGCTAGCCCTTCTTCTACTTCAGGAGATGATTCAAAATTACTTACAGCCATTTGTTTTTGTTCTGGAGACAAATGAGGCAGCACTTGGTTTGAAGGTTGTTCAAATTTCTCTATCACCTCCATTAATTCCTCATCTTGGTTTGACTTAGGTAATGTATTATTTTGGTCTTTTCTATCTGGAGATGATTCATTGACACTTCTTTCCCTTGATGGGGTTCTAGGTGCATCTTTTAGTACTGGTGAGGATTCAGTCCTATCCTGTACAGGTGTACTAAATTTGTCTCTTGGCCTAGGAGATAACGCAGCAACATCTTCCTGAAGGGGTAAGACCATTTTCTCTTTTGATTCAGAAGACTCCAATCTGCTCTGTCCCAGAAGAGATTTCGAGTCCAATGGAAGATATGGACAAGAGTCAGACTGGGGCCTGCTCTGCTCAGGAGACATTCCTGATTTCAGCCTAGGACTTGATAATTCACCTCCATCTTGTCTTGTTGGAGATGCCAGCTCAGTGACTGGAGATGAGGACCTGGACCCACCACTCTTTGGAAATGTTTGAGATTTGCTCTGCAGAGGTGAAGACTCCAAGTGACTCTGTCTCATTTCTGGACTTGAAGTATCAGATCTGGGGTCTGGTGAAGTTTGAGATTGTCCTTTATGTTGCAGAGATGAGGAGCCAAAGTAGCTTTCTCCGGGTGGTGTGTTAGACGGTACTCCTGGACAGAGTGAAAATGATCCAGAGCAACTCTGTGCTTGAATTTCTATAGACTTCTCTTGGGGACATGGTGATTTTGACCCAGACTGACTTTGCCCTGGTGGTGTTTGAGGCTTTACTTTAGGGTATGGTGACACAGACCCTGAGTGACTTTGTCTTGGTGGTGTTTCAGGTTTCACTTTGGTATCTGGTGAGGAGGATCTAGAATGGCTCTCTCTTGGCAACGATCTAGATTCCACCTTGGTGCAAGGAGACACTGATCTGCTTTGCCTTGGAGGTGTTCTAGAAGTCATCCTACTAGGACTTGGAGAAGAGGAGCCAGAATGGCTTCTTTGTCCTGGTGACATTGCCTTCACTTTGGGCTGTGGAGACAATGACCTAGATGGGGTCTGTCTTGGAGGTGTACTAGACTTCACTTGAGGAGGAGAGGACCTAGAACAGCTGTGCCTCGAAGGAGTCCTAGATTTTACCTCGGGATCAGGTGATGATTCAGAATGGCTCCGTCTTTGTGGTGTTGCAGATTGTTCGATGGTCTGGGGACTTGTGATGGAACCTTGTCTTGGTGGTGTTCCAGATTTCACTTTTGGGTGAGGAGATGAACTGGAATGGCTTTGTCTTGATGGTGTTTTAGATTTCTGTTTAGGTGGTGAAGAACCGGAACGACTCCGCCTTGGTGTTCTAGATTTTGCTTTAGGTTGTGATGATCCAGAGCGACTGCGCCTAGGTGGTGTCTGTGACTTTTGTTTAGGGCACGGAGAGGACCCAGAAAGACTGCGTCTCAAAGACAAGCGAGATTTTGCCTTAGATCTTGGTGAAGAGAGAGACCTGCTCCGCCTTGAGGAAATGTGAGATTTTTTCATTTCTGGACTTGAGTTAGACCTGCTCCTCCTCTGAGATGTTCTGGATTTGTTCTTCCGCTCTGATGACGAACCAGACCTGCCTCTTCTTTGTGGTGTCCTAGAGTGAGATCTTCCTCGCCTAACTATACTTCTACTGCGGGATCTTCGTCTTGCTGGGGTTCTAGACCGAGACCTCCCTCTCCTAGCTGGGGTTCTAGAGCGTGATCGGCCACTACGTCTAGCTGGGGTTCTAGAACGTGACCGGCCACTACGTCTAGCTGGGGTTCTAGAACGCGATCGGCCCCGTCTAGCTGGGGTTCTAGAACGTGACCGACCACTTCTCCTGGCTGGAGATCTACTGCGAGATCTCCTTCGTACTGGTGATCGGGTCCTAGACCTGCGTCTAGCAGGTGTTCTTGACCGAGACCTGCCCCTGCGGGCTGGTGTTCTTGACCTGGACCTGCGCCTGGCGGGTGTTCTAGATCGTGATCTCCGCCTGGCAGGTGTTCTAGAGCGGGACCTACCCCGCCGAGCTGGTGTTCTAGAACGTGATCTGCCCCTGGTGGCTGGGGATCTAGAGTGTGATCTGCCTCGCCTTGTTGACCTAGACCTGCCTCTTCGCTGAGTATTTCTGCTCCTGGACCAACCTGGTCGCTGAGGGGACCTAGAACGGCCACGCCGTTGGGGGCTTCTAGATCTTCCCCACCTCTGTGCAGACCGTGACCTACGCCACTGAGGGGACCGGGAACGAGAATGACCCCTTTTGGTAGGGGTTCGAGACCGTGATCTCCCCCTCTTAGCAGTGGCAGGGCTGCGTGATCTCCCCATCCTATGGGAAGGAGTATGAGAGTGTGATTTATCCCGCTTTGCTCGGCCATGTGACCGATTCTTGGATGTGGGGGAAGAAGAAATCTCTCGGCGGGCACCAGGAGCTGGTGTGGGTTTAGGACTTTCAGGGGAAGAGCTGGCATGCCGAGAAACTTTGGTAGGCTGTGGGGATGGTGGGCAGCTCTCTGAGGAAGAAGACTGAGGTGGTTTCTCAGGAGACTTAGGTGGTGAAGGGCCTCGGGTTGGGGAGGCCTCAGATGGGGGGTTCACTGGCTCCTGACTTAAGGAGGTTGTTGCAAGGGGCTGTGGGGAGCCGCCATGCTGCTCAGCAAGGAGCGGAGTGGGAACAGGTGGTTCAGGGCCTGTGCTGCTCCTTTCCGGAGAGGGGCTAGGTCGAACTGCAGGTTTCTGAGAGTGGAAGAGAAAGTAGGGATAGGGACACATAAGCACCCAAATTTCCCATCACCCGTAATCTCTCAACACCTTTTCAATTAAACTACTTTCACATGCCCCATCATACCCATTGGTCCTTTTCCTCACCACAGGCAGTCACATTCATTCAATAACAAAACTTCGTTAAACACAAAGCACAGTGTGAAAAATGTGAAGAAAAACCTGTAACTTGAAGTCTTAAAATCTAGAAAATTTGTAAATAACTACTGCATTGCAATTAACAATACTACTACAAAATAACAGAATGAGCAGTAGTTAGGGTGGGAAAATTTTTTTTTTTTTAATGGATGCTGAGAACTCAGAATGTTAAATACTCCCTGATCTCCAAAAGAGCAGTTTTAAATAGAGAAAGCAGTTTTCTCAAGCAGGTGGCACTTGACCTCACTGTCAAGAAACTTCGGTATTAAAAAAAATAGTAAAAACAAAAGCAAAGTACTGGGGCTGTAGCTCAGTGGTAAAGTGCTTGCCTCGCATGTGTAAGGCACTGGATTCAATCCTCAGCACCACATAAAAATAAAGATACTATATGTTCATCTACAACTAAAATAAATATTTTTTAAAAAAGCAAAGTACTGAGAATCCGATTTGTGTGAAGAAAAAAAGTGACAAGGGGCTAGGGATGTAGCTCAATGCAGAGTGTTTGCCTAGCAGGCATAAGGCCCAGGGTGGTGGTGAGGAGTGAAAAGCCTTTTAGATACCACTCAAATGTCATAGAAGAAAGATGATCACACTCATAATTTACAAAATTTGCTGAATGAGACATAAAATAGAGAAATTATATTACAATAATTGAAAAATGGGGGGAAAAAAAACCAAGAGAATACAAAACAACAGGAACTACAGGGACTACCATTCCTTTTAGTTTTCAACCTGCTGGCAAAACCTCAGTGGGTTGAAAATTTTCATGAAATAAAACATATTTTAGGGCTGGGGTTGTGGCTCAGTAGTAGAGCACGTGCTTAGCATGTGTGAGGCACTAGGTTCGATTCTCAGCACCACATATAAACAAATGAATAAAATAAAGGTTCATCAACAAAAAATATATATTTTTTTTTAAATAATAAATTTAAATGTGGCTTAAGGGGCTGGGGTTGTGGCTCAGTGGTAGAGCACTCACCCAGCACATGTGAAGCACTGGGTTCAATCCTCAGCACCACATAAAAATAAATAAAAAACAGAGGTATTGTGTCCATCTACTACTAAAAACAAATGAAATAAACGTGGCTTAAAGAGCTGAACGTAGTGGCACACGCTGGTATCCCAGCAGCTCGGCAGGCTATGGCAGGAGGATCTCAAGTTCAAAGCCAGCCTCAGCAAAAAGCAAGGTGCTAATAAGCAACTCAATGAAACCCTGTCTCTAAATAAACTACAAAATAGGGCTGGGATTCTGGCTCAGTGGTGCTGTACCCAAGTTTAATCCCCAGTTAAAAAAACAAACAAAAACAAAAACCAACAGAGGCTTAAAGAAACTTGTTAGAATTCTATCCACACACACACATAAACAGGACACTGCTACAAAATCCACTGCAAACATCCAGTGAATTTTGATTCTAAAGGCTTCAAGATTCAGTGCAGTGCATCACGACTATTAAAACAAGTGCAGATACACAAGAGAATATAAATAGAAGAACGCACACTGAAAAAAAAAAAAAAAAAAAACAACTAAATTCACTTCTCTTATTAAGTTATCATCGCTCCTGTTCACTCCACAGCCGTATCATAAAACTCATAACCTAGCAACCCAATGAACATCCACTACCCTCAGGGACATACCTCCTTCTTGTCTTTGTCCTCGTAAGGACTGCTAGGCTGCTTTGTAGAAGTCTCTGGGCTGCTAGGCCGTTGTATATTGGTGGTACCTGGTTCACTAGAAGGCGCATCTCCCTCCCCTCGACGCCCTGGAGCAGGGGAAGGACTTCGCCCAGTCAAAGCAGTTGTATGTATTTTAGCTGCAGCACTTCGAGACCTGTGGGAGTTAATGGAGGATGGGGGAGAGCAGGGAAATCAGCTCAAGGGAGAATAGAAAACCCCCTCCCAGCTCCCATCTACCTTTCCTAATTATACACAGCCCTCTTCCAAAAAGCCTTAGTCACATTTCAAATCATTCACAGAATGCAAATTCAGTCCACTTTGTTTCTTTGCTTCCCAACAAAATCCCAAAGAATGTTCTCCCTCTACCCCTTTATTCACCTCCCCCAAACATCCCCAAACCCTCCACCCAACCCATTCCCTACCCACTTCATTCAAAACTCACCTCTGAGCCCACCTCCTTCAGGAAGCCTTCCCCGATTAAGGAAGCCAGGGTAAGGATTCCTTCCTCCCCCAGACACCACGAACAAACCACCCCCCCTATTCTGGCAGTCCATATACATCATAACGAAACAAAAAAATAATAAAAAAAAAAAAAGAGAAGGGGAAATGTATATGTCTGTCCATCCTGTTGCTTTAGCCTGTCAGCTCCTAGAGGGCAGGGACCGTGTCTTCCGAATGGTCTGTGCAGCGCCTAGCACACCGTGGGCGCTCAATAAATATTAAATTGATTAACCCACCATTCCCTCTCCCTCCCTTCCTTCTGGACTACCCCTTACCGACTGCGAGAAGTGTCAGAGGAGGAAGCAGAATCAGCAGAGGTTGACCGATGGGCCCGGCGGCTCTTGGGAGCTGGTGTTGTACTACGAGACCTGAACGAATACCACCACATACAGCTCAGGAGGCTGTCATACCTACACTGGATTCTATTCACCCATACCTCAACCCTTAACCATTCAGGGACAAGATTAATTATGCCTTCTCCCCCTAAGGGAACCGAATCATCTACTTAGTAAGGAAATTCCCCTCAAATTCACCTACCGCTTCCGTTTCTTGTCTTTAGATTTACGTTTACTCTTTGGAGTGGGAGACCTGGGAAATTAAGTGAGAACGTTAAAAATGTATTTATTTATTTTGCGATATGAAGGATTAAAGAAAGGGCACTCTACTTCAGCTAGTTCCTGATAAACCACTCCCCCATCCCCCCACCGAGGCTAAGAGACCTGGTGTTGGATTTGTGATCCTCTCACCCAAGCCTCCCAAGCTTCTGGGATTACAGTATGCAAGGCCATACTTGATCCCTTAACCCTATTAAAATTTTGATACAGGGTCTTGCTAAATTGCTGAAGCTGGCTTTCAACTTGTCATTTTCCTGACTGAGCTTCCTGAGTTTCTAGGATTACAAGTATGTGCCACCATGCTTGGCAAAAAAAAAATACATAAATAAATAACTTTTTTGTGTCTGTGCACTGGGGATTGAATCCAGGGCCTTGTGCATGCAAGGCAAGCACTTTACCAACTGATCTATATTCCTCAGCCCAGAAATAACAAATTTTTAAGAAAGGAAAAAAAAAAAGCCTAAAAGTAAAATGGATGGTACTAGAAAACTTTATTAACAATTAGATCAAGGATTAAGTTTTACTCAGAGATAAAACCTCCCAAAGGCCAAAGAGAAAACAAAGCCATCAAGCAATGTCTCATAACTTCCATGTGCCACTGTGGGGAGCCACATTGAGTTACCAAGGCCATCAAGCAATAGCTCATAACTCCCATGTGCCACTAAGCCCCTATTTGCCAAAGGGCCCTTACCTGTGCTTTCGTTTCTTGGACTCAGATTCCGACCTGTTTTGGGGGGGGAGGGGGAGAAAAAAAAATCATACACCTATACTTAATGCCTGAACTCAATCAGTAATCCTTCTGCAATCACCCAATTACTTCAACTTCATACCTGTGCTTCTTCTTTTTTGAGCTCTTTTTTCTCTCCCGTCGAGGAGAGCTACTCTCTGACCTGCTGAAGATGAGATCAGAAGCAAGGTCATTTTGCTTGGCTTCTTTCCTGAATCTCCCACTTACAACACATTCTCATAAATGGTTTTCTAACACAACCAAATAACCCCATCAGCATCAACTCCCCAGACCTCAATCTAGGACTAATCTCTTTACTCTCCAAGAAATATAGGTAACTCCTTAAATCAACACATTCAAAAATGAAAACAGGGCTGGGGATGTGGCTCAAGCGGTAGCGCGCTCGCCTGGCATGCGTGCGGCCCGGGTTCGATCCTCAGCACCACATACAAAGATGTTGTGTCCGCCGAAAACTAAAAAAAACAAATATTAAAAAAAATTCTCTCTCTCTCTCTCTCTCTCACTCTATCTTTAAAAAAAAAAAAAAATGAAAACAATTCCAAAAATCCCAACTGACGCTGGCCAATTCTTAACTGTCAGGGCTACAGACTCAAAACTTCCCCACTAAGAAGCACTGTCAGCTAAGATCTGAAATGATAACTCCCTTCTCCTTGACTTTTTTGAAAACCACCTGCTGCTCCCAGAAAGCAGAATCCTTGACTTCTAGAGACAAAGTACACCACAGGATTGGCCCTCTGTATAACAGAATAACTTTCCAATCAACTTACCGTCCTCTGTCTTTCTTCTTTTTCTTCTTCTTTTGCTTTGGGGTCGGTGAACGAGAACTGCTGGACTCCCTAACAAGGCTAGTAAAAGATAAAAAAACACATCTTTAAGACGTTTCAACCTCAAGAATGAAACCTGAAGAGTTTGAGAAGAAGTTCACAAAAAAAAAATAGAACAGAGTGCTTAGAACCAGAAGGAAAAATTGATACTAGTTTCTTGGTCTTGAGTACCTGTAAGGTTTGGGAGGCTCGGGAGCTGGTTGTTTAGCTTCTCGAGCACGACGCTGAGGATCAAAAGAGCTGCCATCCACGTAGGAATCACTGATGCCAAAGGCAGCTCGGAGCCGCTCATTCTTCTTCTCATTCAATTCTGCCAACTGATGCGTCTCAGTTACCCTAGAGGAAAAAAGGTAGAAATGTAAAGGTTATAGGAAGCAAAGAACAGAGCTAAATTCAGAACAAAATTAAGCAGGAGACAAACAGCCATGGAATAAGGAACATGAAGGCAGAGAGAAGTTCCAAGTAAGGAGGGTGACAGCAGAGGCAGCAGCAGACAAAGTCCAGGAGGAACCAAGGGAACACTCACGCTGGCCTCTGCCCTGGGGTTTCCTCCTTGCCCCCAGGGTTCACATCCTTCTCCAGCAACATGAGTCGAAAGGTCGCCACTTTCTCTTGGATTTGCTGTTCCTCGTACCTGAAGGACAAATTCCTTCACGGTTAGAGCTTGACTGGACACTTCCCCAGTCCCAAATTCACATTTCCCTTATTCCCAATGGGGGTCCCACCTTCCCTCTCCATGCACACATAGAACTTTTCACTCACTGTCACCCTAAAATCCTTAAGTCCTGTTCTTTTCCTATCATCTTTCCTTCCTTAATTCCCTATGCCCTCTAGAACAGTGGATTTTAAACATACTACAATTCAGGAGCCAAGAGAGGAAAGTTAGCTGGCAGAGTTCCCAATGCGCCTCACCAACTTCAACAAGACCCAATCTCTTACTTCCTGGGCTTTCAAAATATAGTATATTGTATTAAAGAAAAATTGTGCCATTGATGAAGTTTGAAAACCACTGCTCTAAAAGGTGCCTTAATGTGCTCCTTCTTCAAAATTTCACTTTCCTACCCACCCATCACACTCTTAATACAGTATTCTACCAATCCTTATTACTCTGGCTTTGCTATTTTCCAAGGCCTCAATCCTTAAAATCCATTTACTTCCTCTTTCCTACCAATGACAACACCTGACAGCTTACCTAGCTCTCCTACCTAACTTCTGCTTTCCCGTCTCTCCCTTTCAGCACACTTTGTTCCTCAATCGTCCCCCTTCCCATGTGCATCCATCTAAATAAATAATTCAGACTCTCTGAGGCTCCCATTTAACACCAGACACAGTTTCCTCACCTCCCACTTTGCATTACCCCTTAACTCTTTTCAAATCTCTAGCTCATTTACCTCCTCCCCTACAACTCCACTCCAGAACTCTTTCAACCAGCCCTAAACTCCGTAAATCCCACCTAACACCCAGCTCTGCACTCACTCAGTGCTCGTCTCTCCCCCAGCCCTCCCCTCACCCCTGCTCTTCCATCATCTCCTCCAGCTCGAGGCATCGCAGCTCCACGCGCCGCTTGCGCTCGTGGTCCAGGATGTCAGGATTAGGCCGCTTCACCAGGGCAGCCTCCAGGCGCCGCAGTTCCTCCTCTCCCTTGTAGTCAGGCCGCTCACCCCGGCGGCCCCGCACCAGGGACAGGTTGCGCTGGACGTAGCCGTTGGTGCCGCTGCCCCGGGGCGTCGGCAGCCCGATCCCGTTGTACATGGCCCTGTGCCCGGGGGCACCACCGCTCCTGAAGGGGAGCGGGGGAGACACGGGTCAGGCCCCTGGCCCCAAACTATCCACTTTCCACCACCCACATCTCTGCTCTCCATCCTCACACTACATCTCCATGAGCTGCATGATACCACCTCATTCACTTAAACTAACAAGTCCCTTTCATCCTTTCAACCAAATTATAACCCAATGCTTACAGACTTTTTCTCCCAATATTCTTTCACATTAATCAAAATTGTTCCTCTTTGCACCTAGACTTCCTTCTTTTTCCACCCTAGGCCATCAAGGACTCTGCTTCTCTCAAATATCTCCATACTAGCATTTTATTCTTCGTTGGAGCCAATACACTTTAAGTAACATCCTCACCAACTACTCTTTAACATCTAACCTCTGGTAACCAACCATCCTCCAAAGTGGACATAATAAACAAAACACACACCTGTGCCTAAGGGCCTACAGTCCATATTGAAAGAAACTTCCCAAAATTTACCTAAGGACTTCAGACTATCCGTAAGAACATAAAATAAACTCAACAATCTCTAAGATATCTGAACAGGTAGGCTGCTGTTAACATAAATCAAGTGCCCTATAAAGACTCACATCTAGACTACAACCAGCATACACATCAGAACGCAAGAACCAGGATGTTACATTTCACCTCCAAAAGAAGAGCCATTTCTTTGACTCCAAATATTCACAACGCTTATCAACTATCCTAATTTTGCACTTTCAATTTCCTTCCCATCAGGATTCACGACTTGCACTCCTCCAAATCTCCGTTAATTATTACCCGTTTTCAATTCAATGTTCTAAACATATCAAATCAGCCTCCTGTTTCAACTGCTCCCATAATTTCTCTATGTTACCCTAAACTTATCTAGTAAACCTTCCTCATTTTCATCAATGTCCAGCTTTTGACTTTCCCTATCAATCCCTTGTTGCACACTTCCTGGGTTTTCTCTCTCAATCCTGCTTTATCCCTCTCACATGTTAACACTATGCCTCCTTTCAGATTCCATCCTCTTGTTTCAACCCAGCATGATTCTGAAAACCCCCAAACCCCAACTTTTCTGGCTAGACTTATTGGCTATTCACACCCTATTCCTTTCTCCTGCCATGTATGGTCCTATCTCTTCAAAATGAATCCTCTCCAAGATAGTTTCACAAAACACAAAGGTGAGGGGAAATTACCCCAGGAAAAAACCCCAAAACAGGCAAAACAGTTTAGTCAGAAAAGAGAATTGAACGAGGGGAAGACCCCATGTAGGAAATTCCAGAAAAGCCAAGTGCAATGGCATACACCTGTAATCCAAGGCACTCAAAAAGGCTCAAGCAGGAGTTGGGGGACGGCCTCAACAACTTAGCAAGTTGTTGTTAAAATTAAAAAAGAACTGGGTGATCCTATGTTCAATTCCCAGTCCCATAAATAAATAAGATCCCAGAATAAAAAAACATCATACAAATGCCAGGAAGTAAGATATCAAAATGTGTAAAAAGGAAAAAAATTAAAATATGTAGTGATGTTAATGGCAGGGAGCTGTCCAGTTTGTCTCTGTCCCATTCCCAAGCCTGACCAGTCCCTGCACGAACCCCACAGCAAAAGATTTGAAATAAAAGATAACTATCTCAGGGTAAAGGAATGACAGATAAGGCTAAATTTAGAAAAAGCAAATGGAAATTCAGGAGGAAATGAAAAACTTCTTTACAGCACAAGAAATCAGTTTCTCTACCTTCCAACTCAGTTTAGTTTTCTAAAACCAGTTCTTCCCCAATCTAATCCTAAACCTTGTATTGTCTCTCCATACCCCACATAATTTCTGCTTTGCAAAAAGCTTCTGACCTGCAATTAATTCTTCAGCCCAATCATTCACCCACACTTCCATACCACCGCACACAAAAATCCTCCCACTCCCTAAAAATGGAAAACCAGTAGCTGCTAAGGAAAGGGTATTAAGTTACAACATTTTGGAGAAATTTTATGGAATAACAAAAAAAAAAAAAAAAAGGAATTGGGGAGGGGGGGAACCACAGCATCGAAGGCGTTCACAAGGGAAATTACTTCAACACAAAACTACCAAACATTCTTAAAAACTGGAGTGCATAGACTGGATATGCTAAAGTCACTCCAAGAATCTGCATAAAGTAAAAGGAATCTCCAAAAACAAAACACTTTTTCCTGTTGGAAAGTTACCAGAATACCCTGAAATCCAACACTAGGACAATCAAGAAAGGAAATGGCACATAAAGGGGGAGAGGGTGTAGAGGACAAGGACCTAGGTAGTACAGTAAGCTCGGCGCTGGGGCACCGCGGGAGCCGAGCAGACATATGGAATCCAGAAAGCTAAAATATTAACTCAGGAATGAACCTAAGCCCACGTACTTAAGACGAAAGGCAACAGACTGCGTTTCTGGTTCAGAGACATCTTAGAGAACCTAAACGAGGTTCTCCGAGAGTTCCGAGCCAAATAACGCCTGACACAAGAGACCATAACCTTAAACTAAGTCGAGAATTTTCTTCCTGCTACGAAAACCTGCTACAGCCTCCCAAGCCCTAGCACAACTTTCGGGGAGGGTGGAAGAGGTGGGAGAGGGAGCGCGGGTCTACCTTACGTACACAGACCACACACGCTAACTCGGGGGCCCGGGGGCTTTTCTCCAAGGCCTGGCGGCCGACGCGCCGACCCCGCGCAGGCCAGGAGCCTCCCGCCCGCCGCGAGGCCTATTTTCGGCCCGAGGGTGGGGGAGGGGCGGAGCGGCGCCCCGCGGTCTAGAGGTTCGGGCGGCCCGCGGGCCCGGGAGCAGCGGGAAAGGCAGGGGCACGTGAACGCGGTCGGAGACAGGACCTTGCGGCCGGGCCCTCCCAGCCACTGAGAGGCCGACAAGGGCAGCAGCGGGGGCGAAGGCTGCCTCCGCCGCACGCGCCCGGCAAAAAGCCGAGCCTGGCGCGCTCCTCTCGCCGAGCACGCGCGCGAACCCGTGCGCAGGCGGCGGCGCGCGCCGTTGCCATGGGGGAGGGGCGGGAGTCGAAGACCGCGCGCGTCCGGGACCGCGGGGAGAAAGGGGGCGAGCGAGGGCGTCCGCGCGAGCTGAGGGCGGCGGGCGCGCGTGCGTGTGGCGGCAGGGCCGTTCTCCGCGCGCTGGGGCCCGGCGCCGGAGACGCCCCTCCCCCACCCGGCTCGCGCGCTCCCTCGCCCTCTCACCCGCCGCCGCCTCCGCCCGCCGCCTGTGAGGGGGAGAGGTCCTGCCGCTGCCGCTGCCGCTGCCCGGGCTCCCGAGTCACTCGGGGCCTGGAGCCGCCGCCTCGCCTCGCCGGTCCGCCCGCCTCAGCCGACGCCGACGCCTCCTCGCTTCCTCAGGGGCCGCAGCGGGTTCCGACTGCGCCACTCGCACCCCGCCTGGGCCACGCTGCACGTCAGCACGACTAAGTGCGTCAGCACGCAGTCCTTGCGCGCCGCAAGGCGCGCCGGGACTCGTAGTACGTCCCGTGACCTTGTGCGCAGGCGCGGGAGCCACACCGGGAAATAAAGTTCCTTAGGGTGCTGGGAGGTTCAACTCCTCAGCCGAAAAACTACGAGTCCCGTCAGCCTATGCAGGGATGAACAGCGGAGCGGGCCGAGACCACAGCGTCTGCAGGAGGCCTTTCGCTGGGGGAGGGGCTCAGGACCTAGCGCCACATTGAACGACCCCGAGCGCGTTTCAGACTCCTGCCTTCGACCCTGGGTATTCTGGGAATTGTAGTCCGGGCGCGGCGCGGAACCCGTATGTAGCCTTGGCGCGGGGCACGGCGGCCATTTTGTCTCCCCATGTTGGGCGGAGATGGCCCAATCTTGGGGACACTGCAGTTTCCCTGTGACCGTTGGCCCGCTTAGCACTCGATCTGTCGTACTGGGATGGAGTCGCCTGAGAACCCAATCCGCTCGCACTGCTGGCGGCGGGGAGCCCAGCCTCAAGCCCTGGGCCTGCAGGAAGGCCAGGCCCGCTGCCGGCCGGTACTGAGCGAGAGGAAGGCAGGCCCCGGCGAGTCGCGTCCTGTTGCCTTCAGGCGCAGGACTGCAAACGTGACTTCTTCGCAGAAGCAGCGCGCGCTGCAGGCGACGCCACCGATACTCGTGGAGGCCGCGCGGGCGCCCTAGCTGCTGGCGCCCTCGAGGCCCGCCAGCGGGCGACTGCAGGCCTTGTGCTGGGAAGCCTGCCTAGGGTGTTAGTAGATTGTTTATTTTTAACGTGCCCACAAAGGGCACTCAGGAGCCTGCGGTGGAGGCCCCCGGGCTGGTGTCAGCTTCTCCCTGAGCCTCTCCCTGCAGCGGAGCCAGGTGTCACAGACGTCCCTGAAACCAGACACCCCACACCCGTGACGTCTCCGTGTTGATGGGATATTTTGTGCTGAATTTTCTACCTGAATCATTCGTGCATTAAATGCTTATAACAACTCCATCACAAGAAATATCCACTTCCCATGATGTTAACAGTGAATTTCCTCCATGAATCCACAGTAATGATTTTTGAAATCAGCAGTGACATTGAAGCAATACCGCTTCCTCTTGCACGTGCTCCCACCATTGCCATAGGCCAGGAGGTGATGCAGTCAAAGGTAGGGGGCCCACAGCAGAGCCTGCACACTGGCTGGTCCAATTTTCAGCCTCCAAAGCTGCAACTAAGTAAACCCTCCTGTAACGAACATTACTATAAGTAAAATCACACGGGTGATTTTACTTATAGTAATGAAAAGCCAACTAATAGACCTTCTATAGTTGAAGTACCCAGTGGGAAATGTATCTTGAAGCCAAAAGCTGAATACTAGGTGAACTTACAGTTACTGGGGTATCATTATTTCTAGGCTTTCTTAAGGTGATGAAACAGAACTGAATGAAATACAGTCCTATATCCATGACACTGATGTCTAGTTGCACTTAATGCTACTGGGTTTGTTCTGTACTTCCCTTTTTGAATTTCCTTTTCCTCCTCTGAAAAAACTTGTCTTGCATTTCACCCCCACCACCTTTTGTTGTTATTGTTTTGTTTTGGTAGGGTCCAAACCAGGACCTCACACATGCTAGGCAAGCACTCTCCAATGTATTCACTAATGTGCTTCATCCTAAAATTGTAAAAAGTAGCTTCAAAATTGTTTGTACATACTTCCTGTAGGGACAAGGATGGTATACCTACAAATTAGAGCCCAATATTTGTTTGGAATTTGTTTTCTCTTTAGACTGAGGGCACACAATTAAAACACTGTATGCAAAAATTATTACAGCTGTACACACTTTTATTGTTTCACTTGAAATATTGAAATATCCACAGATCCCAAACCCGGAATGAACCACACGAGACACTGGCTGCAAAAAGCAGGAGGCGTTTATTCTCACACAGGCGCCTGCGGGTGCACAGCAAAACCTCAGCCGGAGCTTCGGTGAACTGGCACACCGGGCTTTGGGGTATAGATCTTTTATATGGAACAGGTGGGTTAGGTCTTAGCTTAGCACAGCAACAGCCTTCCTATTGGTCCCTCTGAATTCAGCAGTTGAGTCACCTAGGGGGGTAAACTTGTTTTCCCACTTTAGTTCTCAGAAAAACCATAAAATTGCATCCTGTCCTTTTAGTTCCTGTTTTTACCCTGTTTGCTCAAGTTTGGCCCTTCCGGGGTTATCTATATGGAACATCTTGCAGCTTCAGGGCACAGGGGTTAGTTTTCCTAATGTTGGGCCTGGGGCCTTGGGGTCCTTCATTCCCCCCTTTTTTTTATATCATGGATATAATCTTATATCCATTGACCCATCTGCTCGGATTCCAGCATTATTTCAGCTGACGGCTCAGCATACTGGTTGGGGGTTGGTATTTACTATTAATCTAATTTTGAATAGGACCCCAGGGTCATAGGCAGTTTTATGATATACTCTCAGGCCCCATTGTTTTTTTTTTTTTTTTTTTTTTTTTTTTTATCCAATCTTTTGATGCTTTGCCTGCCTGAGTAAAGGTAATGTTTAAGGGGTTGCAGGCAAATGCGGTACATGGCCCTGCCCCGTACCATTTTAGGCTCCTGCAAGAGTCGGCAGAAAGTGGGGGATCCTGTTTTGTTTTTTGTTTTTTTTTTAAATTATATTTCTTGTCCCCGATAATACTTGTCATGTCTGGCTCACAGATTGGTTGGGGTTAACTGATATGGGGAAGACACAGCACAAAGCAAGAAAAATCAACAGCGAGTGAGTCTTATCTTTAGCGGATTTTGGGTACGTTGCAACTTTCATTCTGGATCCGGAGAGGTGTCTGCGGACTCCTGTGGATGTGCAGTCTTCACGTGGGAAGCATGGATCTAAGCAGCGATGCCGTCCACTTTGAGTGCAGTAGGAGTGGTCAGCAGGATAGTGTAGGGTCCTTTCCACCGCGGTTCGAGGTTCCTGCTCTGGTGCCTGCGTACCCAGATGGTATCTCCGACCTTGAAGGGATGTGGCAGCAAGGGGGTTTTAAGTTCCTCTTTGTATGCTGCGGCTAGAGGCTTCCAGACCTCGTTCTGGACCAATTGCAAAGCATGCAAATGAGTCTGCATAGATGGGGTGAGGGAGGCATAGGTTTTAGTTTTATAAAAGTTAATAGCGGGAGGTGGGGCACCGTACAGGATTTTAAATGGGGTTAGTCCATGTGGGCCTGGGGTGTTTTGGGCCCCATACAAGGCTAAAGGTAGGAGTTGTACCCAGTCTCTAGTGCCAGTTTCAAGTGTCAATTTAGTTAAAGTCTCCTTAATGGTTCTATTTATCTTTTTTACCTGTCCTGAACTTTGGGGTCTATAACCATAATGTAATTTTTAATTAATTTTTAATGTATTGGCTACCGCCTGACTTACCTGGGAGACGAAGGCAGGCCCATTAAATGTTTTTTTTTTTGGTCCTCATTATCAGGATCAAAGGGAGTAAACCTCCGATAACCCTCTTTTAATTTTTCTAAGAAGGCTGTCGGAGTTTCCTCTGACCCCTGGATAGTCTGTCTTACCTGAGCCAAATTGGTGGGCCGTCGCCCTGCTCCATGGAGACCCCCCTGCTCCATGGAGACCCGCTATGAGTAACTGGCGATAGAGATGTAGGTGGTTCTCACCTGCTTTAGTCGCATAGTCCCAGTTTGGCCGGGTTAAAGGAAAAGCTTCGTTAATCAAATTTGTGAGTTGGGTGGGGCGCCCATCGTCCCCTGGCACATTTTTGCGAGCTTCCAAAAGAGCCTTTTGTTTCTCCTCTGTGTCTAATAGAGAAATCTTTAATTCTGCTACTTAGGGCTGGATAACCATATTAGCAAACATCAAGTCTACCTGTGTTGTCTAGAAATAAAAGCCTTAGACTAAAACTATTCTAGTAGTTCCTTTGACAGTTATCAGGCATTTCTGTCTAAGAATCTCTTTTGTAGCCTCCAGTCTATTTATTTATGGAAGTTACATTTAATTATTATTATTATTTAAGATGTCCAGGAACAGCTGTGCTTTGGCTTTGACTGTCTTTGCTAAGTGTTTAAGATGAAGCAAGTCAAACTGACTTTTGTTTCTACCTATTGTTTACAGTCAGCTGAGTTATCCTGGGAGTCCTCGGGAACTTCATAGCAGCTTTTCAGTTCTGCTAGTGCCATTTGCGCTAGGATGGGTCCAGGCCTTGTTTGACCATATGGCTTCCCTCAGAAGCATCAGGGATGTCTCCCTTTTTTAATGACCCTCCTCTTTACAGCAAATGCACCATTTGGCTTTCTGTCCTCCACTGGTCTCATTAATCTCCCTGCTCAGGAGGTTATGTGGCCTAGAGTTGCTGAGCCCTTTGGAGAAGTCCCCTATTCCCTGATTCAGACTGACTCAGAGGGCAAGAGCCAAATATTGGTTTTCTTGGCCCTTTTAATTTAACTAATTTTAAAAACTTGATCTTAAACATCCAGCAAATAAATTAACAGCCTTATATTAAGAGCACTGGGCTTTAATGTCTATCTCTCTACTCTGTAGGTGATAACTCTTTATCTTATGTTGACCCAGGTTGTGTTCTTAAAGCAATACCTCTTTAGAATATTAATAGGCAATCCTTAAACCATCTATAAGCAAACTACAAAACAAAACTAACTAGGGTAAAAACATATTTAGCTTATATAATAGCTACCTTGAATTCTGGCAGGGTTATACATCATAATTTCCTGTTTGAGATCCTAGTAATCTTGGCAAAAACCTACTTTTGGACACAACTTTAACTGTACTGAAATCTGGCTTACTTTTTTTATAGCCATTTTCACATGTAGTGAGATGGGACAGAGCCTTATCTCAAGTAAGGCAGGGCTCTTTATAAATCTCAAGTACTATAGTTCTGAAGCTGATCATTTTACAAAGTTTACATAAATTGTTGTTCAAGTTTACATGAACATTAGCTAACACAACATAATATCACACCTAAAATATGAATTAAAGGCTGAAAGCTTTTAACTTCTTGTAGAAAAGTAGTAATGTACTTTTGTGTTTTGCAATTAAATCTTCACACAGATTAGGCTCTTATTAACTTAAAAATACATAAATTGTATCTTAGAGTAGAAAGTAACATGGAACTGTACATATCTTATTGATAACAAGTTCAGTTATAGAACACAAATGATATAATCGAATTTTTAACATTTTTTTTTAAGCCTAAAATTACCATACAACTTTAGAACACCAGCTTGATATAATGTTTTTTTGAAGCTTTTACCTTACAGACTTGTATACCTGGAAGATATGAACACATTAATAACACCATAATTATATAAACTTCCTTTTGTTCACATTTTGAAACAATACTTGTAAACTTTTAAATTTAAGCAGAGTTAACATTTTATTAGGGTCTTTTTGAACACCTAGAGAAACTTATAAGCTTAATTTTGAGGACATCTTTACTTTTATCTGTTTACCCAATCTAAATTGAACCGTTTGAATCACGTGAATTAAAGATATTTGGATCTATTTTTAATTTTTTTTTTTTTCAGGCTACCCAGTTCAAAATTGAAACTTTTAAAATTTTTTATCCCAAGTATTTAAGTTTTCTAGCATGAACTATCTGAAATCAAACTAAACAATTGTTTAAACCCAACTTTTAACTGCAAGATAGTGCAATGCTTTAGAAACCCATTCAGATACCAGATTGTTACAATAAAAATTATTATTATTTATTTTTTAGACACATATTTAACCTAGATTATCCCTAAGAAACAATTAGACAACCAGATAAGAAAATATCTCTCCAGGTTTTGAACTTTCATTTAATTATGACTCTCATCAGTGGCACCATAGATTTTCCTATGAGTGGACCAGATGTTTTCACGTAGGGGCAACTATAGGTGTAAAATCAAGGGTCTCAGTGTGACTGGCTTTACTGCATTTAGTGTCCCTTTTTTTTAAGTAAACAGAGGTTAAGTAAACAGATCCTTAAGATGTAGATAAGGACCCAGGGAACTCCCCAGAGCTAAATGGCTCTGGCAGCTGCTGGGAGTCCCTTAATCCTATCTTTCACCCACAGGATCAGTTCCTCTAGTTTAGGTAATTTTTTTTTTTTTTTTAACTTGTTAGTAGCCAGCTCCCAAAAAGTCCATCCTCTGCTTGCAGTTGTTTCAAGTGCTAGGCTTCCCCAAGAAAGCAGAGTGGGAACTCCTTAAAAGTCCCCTTGAGAGTGTCAAAATTTGTGACTGAAAATTTGGTTCCCATCTCTAAAGTTAATTAACATTAATTTAATAATGAGGACAGGACTTTGAGAAAAGTCAAAGCGAGATGTCAAAGTTGTTAAATCCCCAGCAGGCATCTCTATTTGCACTCAAGCCGGTTATGGGGGGGAAGAAAACATTGCTTCCCTAGTCTCAGTATTCAGCCTTAGATAGAATTTATCATCCGCCTTGGGCTGCATTTCCAAGCAGCCCGACTCCAGGAAGACCCGTTCGCTTCCTGGGGTGGAGGGGCCGGGAGGAACAGGGACGGGACAGATCCGCCATACCGCCGGGTGGAATCCTCCCGGTGGACTGCGTGGATCCCACCCATGCAGGAGGGGATTCGCAGAGGTCCTGAAAGGTTAAAAGCCATGATCTGGATGGCCATGCGGCCCCGGCTGAAAGACAATCTCTGACTTTGCAAATTAGAGAGAGAGATGGAGGGACTCTCCTGGGGGCCATTTAACTTTGAGGGTGGGCCAATACTGGCCACTCCGTGGTACAGAGTGTTACCCATTTTTTCTTTTTGACTGCCACGGACAGGTTGTCTGCCCGATCTTGAACGTCTTGCCAATGATCTAGAGTTAGGCTCAAAGGGGTTGTTAGTGATTGTCCCCTGTTACTCTCAGAGAGGAAATAGAGAGACAGACACAATGACACAAAAACGAAACCAAACAGTGAGATCGCTGCGTGGCTTCGGTGGAAACCGAACAAATCAGATGGCCTGGGAGAAGTTTGTACTTCTTTGTCGCCTACAAAAATGGTGTAACCCTCGGAAACACCGGGGGCCCCAAAGAAATGGACCCTTCTGATCCCTGGGACGTCTCCCAGGGTGGCAGGGGAGAAGTCCGAGTTCGTCAACTCCTTCTCAAGCTGCCTCAGAATACTAAATGACAGAACTGCCTCAGAATACTCAGAATACTAAATGACTATGCCTAGGATCATATAGTCTTACAGACGCTGCGCGGAACAAAGAACAGATAACCAACAGGACAACAAGACAGTCAGTTTGAGCTGGCCAGCTTACCTCCCAGTGATGTCGGGTGTCCTCCGGATAGGGACCGGGATCGGAACCGGAACCGGGATCTTGGATCTCGCTGGGGCCTCCACAATGAAATATCCACAGATCCCAAACCCGGAATGAACCACACGAGACACTGGCTGCAAAAAGCAGGAGGCGTTTATTCTCACACAGGCGCCTGCGGGTGCACAGCAAAACCTCAGCCGGAGCTTCGGTGAACTGGCACACCGGGCTTTGGGGTATAGATCTTTTATATGGAACAGGTGGGTTAGGTCTTAGCTTAGCACAGCAACAGCCTTCCTATTGGTCCCTCTGAATTCAGCAGTTGAGTCACCTAGGGGGGTAAACTTGTTTTCCCACTTTAGTTCTCAGAAAAACCATAAAATTGCATCCTGTCCTTTTAGTTCCTGTTTTTACCCTGTTTGCTCAAGTTTGGCCCTTCCGGGGTTATCTATATGGAACATCTTGCAGCTTCAGGGCACAGGGGTTAGTTTTCCTAATGTTGGGCCTGGGGCCTTGGGGTCCTTCAATATAATTTGGTTCTGTTTGTATTAAATCTTAGGATTCCTCCCATCCTTATATATTTTACTTGGTTTACTGTTTTTCACATACTGTTATATGTGAAACAATAACATGGTTCTAAAAGTCAGGCATATACAAAAAGATACATTCAGAGAAGGGTCTTGTTTCTCATCCCTGTCCACTCCCTTTTGTTAAACAAGCTCAGTCATAATTTTACTTTGCTAGGTTTCTTTTTGCTCAAATGTCTGTTTTCTTACCACTACCATCACCACCACCCCCCCTTTTTTTTCCCCCTCAATACTGAGATCCAATCCAGAGCCTCACACATGCTAGGGAAGGGCTCTACCACTGAGCCACAAATTTAGGCCTTCCCTTTCTCACACAAAGAAAGGTAACATACTCTAGATATTCTTTCACACTTTGCTCTTTTCACTTAGCAACATATCCTGGCCATCATTCCATATCTCATAGAGATGTGTAGAGATACTGTTGTTTATTCAGCCACTATTTCATACCTGAACATCTAAGTTGTTTCCAGTATTTTCTAATTATAAACAGTGCTGCAATTGTTAACCAAGTGCACCTCATATTGTTGGAGGTGTAGCTTCTGAGAGAATTCCTAGGAATGAGAAAGCTAGAGCAAAAAGTAGAAATAAGCAATTTTGTTAGTGATTCCAAATTTCTCTTAAGTAAGGACTATTTGCATTCCCACTTGTGAATTGAGAGTGCCTGCATACCCACAATCTCGCCAATAGAGGGAGTTGCTACGCTTCTGAATTTTTGTAGTTCTGATAGGCAACAAAGTTGGTGTAGTTTTTCTGTGGTGAAATGTAGATAACAAAATTTATCATTTTTGCCTCTATTTTTTTTTTGTGTGTGTGTGTGTGTGTGCTGGGGATTAAACTCAGAGGGCTGGACCACTGAGCCACATTCCCAGCCCTATTTTATTTAAAGACAGGGTTTCACTGAGCTGCTTAGTGCCTTGCTAAATTGCTGAGGCTGGTTTTGAACTGGTAATCCTCCTGTCTCAGCCTCCCAAACCTCTGGGATTACAGGTGTGCACCGCTAGATCTGACAAATTTTGCCATTTTTAATTACACAACAGTGCCATTAAGTACCTTCACAATATTGTAACAGTGTTCACTTTATGCTTTCTTTTTTTTTTTTTTTTTTTTTTTGTGGTGCTGGGGATTGAACCCACTTTATGCTTTCAATATAGGCCTTTCTGCTCTGCCACTGCAACTTATTTTTTAAATGGACATGTTTCTTTTTCTTCCTCTCTCCCTGCTCCTCCCTAATCTCTCTCCATCCCAAATCTCTGGTGAAATGGGATTACCTTTCTCCTCATCCATCCTAGGCAGCTATCTCCCAAATTAACAAGTAGAGGGACTGGGGATGTGGCTCAAGCGGTAGCACGCTCGCCTGGCATGCGTGCGGCCCGGGTTCGATCCTCAGCACCACATACAAAGATGTTGTGTCTGCCGAGAACTTAAATAAATAAATATTTTTTAAAAAAATAAAAAAACAAGTAGATTACAACTCCAGACTTTTGAGTCACCTCTTTAAAAGCCCCTGTTCTGGCTGATCGGCAGAATTACACCCTCTAGAACAGGAGTCCCCTGTGTTTCTCCTTTGCTACCAAAGCAATAAACTCTCTTTTTTCCTTTTTCTCAAAACTGTGTTCTTATTTTTGGATTGGCATCAGGGACAAGGACTGAGCCAACAGCAAAAATATCATGCAAAGCTTCACCACCATCCACTTCTAGCACTTTTTAAGTATCTCAAATAAGAATTCTGTGCTCTTCTTCTTTTTTTTTTTTTCTTTGTGGTGCTGGGGATTGAACCCAGGGCCTTGTGCATTCGAGGCAAGAATTCTACCAACTAAACTATATCCCCAGCCCCAAGAAATCTGTGCTCTTAATTAAATAATTACCCATGTCTCCCCTATCCCCTACCTAGCCCTTATAAGTTCTCATTTACAGTCTGTCTCAATGAATTTGTCTGCTCTTGTGTTAGGTAGTAGCTAGCAATGAGCAGTGAAATGCAAGCAAGGTCACAAGTGTTCTTTAAATTTCTTTAGGGTTCTTCTTTAAATTACTTCCAAAGTAGATGAGAAAGCAAAGGGTGAAAGAAAGTAAAAAGTTTATGATGAACCCAGCCTAATTCCAACTTAAGATTGGGAGCCATCTTGTTACAAAATCATGAGAAGTTAATTTCTGTTTTACTATAAATTACTGCAATTTCTAAACTTGTTTGGAATTCCTGCCTGTGCCTTGAACTCACCCATGCCTGGCTTTCCCTGACCAGATAACAACCCTCTCTAAAACCTTAGTGATGCCTTATAAATTCTGATGTTGGGATCTAAATGTTTTCCCTACCTTGAAATGTTAAGCCATGTAGATCATTAACCTAGTATCTGCCTTTGTATTATGCTTGTCAAAATCCTGTTATCTGTAAGTTCTCAAGACACCCCCCTTTGCAACTTTTTGTGCTTTAAAACTATGTTCCTAGAGAGCTGGGGGGCTGGTCTCTAGCCCAAGGTTTTAGGAGAATCAGTCCTGGCCAGCTCCTGTGTACACAAATATAAGCTTACTTTAATTTTATTCAAATTGGAGTCCATGGTCTTTTCTTTGCATCATTGTAGTTTAACAGTTAATTTGTAAAAAGTAAAATAAGGGCTGGGGTTGTAGCTCAGCCTATGTTCGAGGCCCTGGGTTCGATCCTCAGCACCACATAAAAATAAGTAAATAAAATAAAGACATTGTGTCCAACTACACCTAAAACATAAATACTAAATAAATAAATAAAATAATCTAATTGGGAAGGATTAATGGGACTAACTCATGGATTCCCCTGATCAGGAGGTCATTGTAAAGCAGAAAAGGTGTGTGAGATCAGGAACCATAGAACAATAAGGCACCAAAAGAGGATTTATTGGGAGGTGCTCCCAGGCAAGATTCACTGGTCTGTGACAGGGTGAGGGCCAGTGAAGTCATGCAGAAAGGAGAGCACAATGCTTATAAGGAAAGTTGGAGGTAGGAGGGTTTAGGCCATCTAAACTGCCGCTACCAACAGCAGGTTGGCCAAGGTGAGTTTAAGGTTACGTCTGTCACTGGTTGGTCCAGGCTGAGGTGAGTTGACAGGGCAATTGCTTCAGCCAATTGGAACCCATGGTCTTTGGGGTCTGTTGCCGGGTCTCTTTAGCCTGGTGGAAAATCCCTACCACAGATGCCATGAGGAGGCGGTGGGGAGGCTGCTGACCCAATAGTCCATGTGGCCCAGAGTCTCAAAGCCTTTAGAGAAGTTCTCTGGGCTCAAGCTGACTCAGAAGTTAAGAGCCAAATATTGGCTTTTTCTTTCTTGGTGTTTTTACTTCCTTAACTTTAATCTCTAAGCTTTGGTCTTAAATATCCAGCAAGCCAGTTTCACCAGTATCACTGATGGGCAAAGGCGTGATTTCTGCAGTCGAGGGGAGGAATAAAGAATGTCCACATGCTATGCCCTTTTCAATGCTTTATTCACTCAAAATCACTAAAATCATTCAATACAATTTCACACTATAGGTTCTTTTTTTTTTTTTTTGGTGATACTGGGGATTGAACCCAGGGCCTTGTGCATGCAAGGCAAGCACTCTACCAACTGAGTTATATCCCCTGCTGTCACTCTATAGGTGAGTGATTATATTAAGATTATATTTCTTAATCAAGAAATAACAATTCTTAATGCTGGGCACTACAAACACTGCAAAAGACATAATTAATTCAAAGCAAACAAATTCTAAGTTAAATCTAAACACTGCAAACACATTTAATTAAGACAAACCTATTACAGACATTCCCTCTGCATGTTAGGCTTAAGTGCTAGATTTAAAGTCTTAAGTCTTAGGCCTCAAGTCCAGCAGATGCACACTCACTCAGACCACAGCGATTAGGTCAGGAACCAATGGAAGCTTCTCCTGGTGTGAAGATCTCCTGGTTGAGAAGACGGTCGTATGTGGATGTCACCATTCTCACCAGAGTCAAGAGGCTGCTGTAGAGTTTTACAGCAGTGAGGATGATGCAGAGAATCAGGCAGATGATGAGAAGAGTTGGGATGCCAGTACAGGTCCTCATCAGGCTCTCTAGCATGTGGGCATCAGTATCAGTATCACTGGTTTGAATATCTGTTCATTTGCTCCATTATTTATACTAAATTTGGGGGCTTCTGTGTACCGTTTTGGTCCTATCAACTGTTAGCAGGTTTCTTAGAGACATCTTACATCTTAGAGAGAACATATAGTCTGGTGGTTTCCGCCCTGATATTACCCTTCTGACTCTATCAGGGTTAAAACAAGTGACATGTTTATATCAAGTGTCTTTACTCTTGTGGAAAGTGACTTGTTTTATCAGGCTATGCCTGATGACATATTGGAGGGCTCTATAGGCTTGTGCCTGGTGAAACTGCAGGTTTATTCTAAAATGGAGTTGCTTAGGCTAAGGCCATCCTTATAACCAGTCTTAAAGTGAGAGTACTAGGTTTTAACTTTAATGTAATATATATATATATATATATATATATATATATATATATTTATATTTATATTTATATAGTCAATGTAGTTAAGCTTCCTATTCATTTCAAAGAGAAGAGAAGGTGTTACCAATTGGGCTCCTGGTAATAGCTGGCAGGAGGAGGGAAGAAAAGGGAGAAGCAGCTCTCCCCTTCTCCACGCTATCCTTGAAGGGTTAACTTGCCCAGAACAGTGAAAGAAACAGCTGCTTTCAAGTAAACTTCTGCAGATTGTGAACTTCTGAGTCCCTCTCCCTACACACTGGGTATAAAGTTCTGAAACTGCCTGAGCTGGGGGTTCAGGGGGATTGATTGATTACATCAAAAGTTTTGCCCTCTGAAAAATAAATTTATTTGGCTGCAGACAAATAACCATGTTTCTTGCTTTCTTTGCTGTCTTGCCTAGTCTGTCCCCACAACTCTATCTCAAATTAACTCAGGTTGTTATATTGAAAG